CCAGGGCACCTGGGCAGAAGGACGGCTAGCAAAGCAGCCTCCCTGACCGGGGGCCCCCAGCCTGGTGGCCGTGACGGTGGCGGCCAGTGCAAAGGGCTGCAAGACAAGGGACTTCGTAGAGGCTGCGTGTGATGACTTCTGGAACTTCTGGCAAAGCTGTAGGAAGTGAAGCTTTTCTGAGGTTTTTTTGTTCGTTTGTTTTTCTTTCAGGTGCCGTCTGACCAGGATCTGGCTCTGAACTCCATATTCTTAGATCCTTTTCTTCCTTGGGTCCTAAGCTTTTTGTGTGGTATCTTGTGACACTTTGTTAGAGCTGTGGTATGATCATATCTTTATTCACGAGCCAAGGGCATCTGGAGTCTTGAAGCATTAGGATAGCTAATTAGTTGGAGAAACTTCTGATTGTAGGATATAGAAACCTCAAAGTGTGTCTGTGTGTCTGTGTGTGTGTGTGTGTGCGCGCACGCACGCATGTGTGTGTGCTTATGTTAGTGTTAGAAACTACCTTTTCAATTTTCCCAAAGCTTCCAGGTTGAAATGTTGCTAGTGAGGTCCTTTAGTTGCATTTTTGGGGTCTAGCCTGTTCATCAGTTGATGGCATTTGGGTTGTTTTCACATTTTGGCTAGTGGGAATAATGCTCTGATCATTTGTGTGTAAGTCTTTGTGCGGACATGTTTTCAGTTCCCTTGGGTCTAAGCCTGCGAGTGGAATTGCTGAGTCACGTGGAAACTCTGTGTTTAACCTTCTGAGGTGCTGCCAGACTGAAATCCCTTTTCTTAGCTGAGCTTTTTATGGAAGTAAATATCTATCTATAAAAATGCAAAAATCACGAGTGTACACCTCCATGAATTTTTGCCAAGGGAACTCCCCTCTGTAACCAGCACCCAGGTCAAGGAACAGAATGTGACTGGCCCCCAGAAGCCCTTTGTGGCCCCTTCCAGGCCGTACCCCACCCCTAAAGGTAACCACTATCCAGACCCTCACACCACAGATTAATGTTGCCTGTTTATGAACTTTGTATAAATGGAATCTTTTATTTCCAGCTTTTGTCTTGCATTTTTAGCTCGTGCACCATACAAAAACAACTGACAGTTTTTCTGCCAGTATTGCTCTCCGAAATCAGATCACATTGTCTTACTTGCCAGCTTCTCTATTAGCTACTTCTCAGGTGACTTGGGCAGATGGAACAGAAAATCCGAACTCAGATGAAAAGACGCCGAGCCTCTCCAGTCCGGTGAGGGCCGGTGGCCACGAGGGTGAGGGCCAGGAGATGGGCCGCCAGGGCGGGCATGGTAGAGACTGCTCCTGTCCTGGCCCCCTTTCCCCTGCCTGTCCCCTTGTGGTAACTTAGCTGCCATTCAGGCCTTAGCTCGTGTTTCCAGGGAGGGGCCGGGTGGGCAGTATTTTCCGCCCTGTGAGCCTCCCAGCCCGTGTCGCAGTCACTCCCCTGGGCCGTGGGAGCGCCAAGCAGCCCTAGGCCCGGCGTGACCAAAGGCGCGTGGCCGTGTGCCCCTGACACTTGATTTACCAAAGCAGGCAGAGCTACCAGCAGGCCTGTGCCCCTTACCTAGCCGCAGAAGCATCATGCTCCACTGGGAGAAGGACAAAGACAAGCAGGCCACCTGAATGCCATGAGCTGACGAGTGGACGGAGAAAATGGGACGTGTACGCACACTGGCCTCTGAAGCGGAAGTCCTGCCGTAGGCAGCAACATGGATGGATCTGGAGGACGCTACGCTGAGTGAAATAAGCCGGTCACAGAAAGACATACTGCATCATTTCATTTATATGAGGCATCTCAAGGGGCTGAACTCATAGAAGCAGAAGGTGGCAGTGGTTCCCGGGGGCTGGGCGGGTGGGGAGCAGAAACGGGGAGTCGTGGTTCGGTGTGTATAAAGTCTCGGTGATGGAAGATGGAAAATGTCTAGAGATCTGCTGTACAACCTTCTGCACGGGGTACCTTGGCCATACCCTGGAAATTTGTTAAGAGGGTGGATCTTGTGTTGTTATTTTGTTTACCAACCATTTAAAAACACGAGAGAAAAAGAGAATGCTTTTGATTGCCAAGGAGGAAGCCCCCAACTCTCTCTGGGGAAATTAATGCACGTGGCACAGAGAGTATGGAACAGAAGAGAATTCTGGAGGGTGAATAGGAGCTTTCCCGTCAGGGGACAGGAGAGCTGTTCTAGGTAGAGGACACGGCACACTCAGACGAATGGGTTTCTGCCTGACATGCTGATGATCCTTACTAGTCTAGCATGGGGTGCTCTGTATTCAGTGCGGCCTTGATCAGACTTAGAACCTGTCCTTCTTTACCTTGATCTGGGTGATTTCGTGCTTTCGTTCATCTTCTAGAAACCGTTTTTTTATTGCCAATATCCGACTATGCGAAGTCCAGATTACCTTTAAATGGCACAGATCCCTGTTTTGAGGGTGAGCCAACCCATCCAGAGTTGTTTTCAGTATCAAAGTCATAAATCACATCACTGATACTCTCACAGCTAACGCATGCTGTGTTCATTGGGCGCTGGGTGAAGTGAGTTTTACTGGACAGGGTCTGTTGTTATCATCTGCTGCTGAACCCTTGGACCCCAGCCCCTTGGAGCCGTTATACTGCAAGACCAAACCGATAGATACTTTCTTGTTTGAAAGGATTGGATAAAAGATCTAGGTGCGCCGTGTGTCTTCCAGAGTCCCTTTGTGGGTAAGTATGGTTGGGTAGGAGAGATGTTATTTTGTCAGGCCAGATGCCTCCAGCATGAAATTTGATTCCACCCCATTTCTGTTGGCAGTTTTATCCTCCATCGTTGTTCCTGTCCTCTTCCTGGAAGTCCGTCCACAATGCCACAGCTCACTTATCTGTCTTCGTTACTCCTCTCCCTCCGGAGCCCAAGTAACAGTGTTTAACACTGTTACATGACAACCTTCAAAAAACCCAATGGCTTGAAACAATAACCAGTTATTTTCCTCACAGTCTGTGGGTGGGCTGGGTGATTTGATTGGGCCAAATTCGCCTGATCTTGGCTGGGCTCACTCAGGAATCTGTGCTTGGCTGGGCCTAGGGGACCTGGGATGGCCTTAGCTGAGCTGACCCAGCTCGATTCCATGTGGTCTCTCATCTTCCAGCGTTCTAGCCTAGGCTTCTCATGGCAGAGGCAGAGGTCCAAAAAAAAAAAACCCACCACCACCAACAAACCAGCAGAGGCTGCATCACCTCTTGGGATCTGGACTTGCACATGCATGCTAGTCACTTCTGCTGCGTGTCACAGGCCAGTCCAGATTCACTGGGTGGAGAAATAGACTCCACCTCTTAATGAGGAGGACCCGGGAAGTCCCACTGAAAATGTGGTAGATCCAGGGAGGGGTAGAGAATATGGCCATTTTTGCAATCCACTGCATGGATCAGGGATCAGCAAATGTTTTCTGTAAATGGTCAAAATAGTAAACATTTCAGGCTTTGTGGGCCATATAGTCTTTGTTATAACTCCTCAACTCTGCTCTTGTAATGTGAAAAGCAGCCATAGACCATATATAAATGCCTGGGCATGGCTGTGTTCCACTAAAACTTTATTTACAACCAGGCCACAGGCCAGATTTGGCCCACAAGCTGCAGTTTGCTGAGCCCTGACCTGGACAATCCAGACCAAGTAGGGATCTCAGATCCAGGTTCTAGGATGTTGTCCTTCCTGAAACCAAGGCCTTGAGGCCAGAAGCATGGGTGTCATCTGTCAGCAGAAGTGCTCTTACTAGAGTGAAGAAATAAAAACAGACTGAGAGGAGCAAGGGCTCCTTGCTAAGGTACAAATGACTATTGGTATCCATTTGGGGTTGTTCCTTGTACCATAATGAACTTATATAGTAGGTTAAGTTTATTTCTCAGCAAGTCCTTGGAGTTCACGCCTTGTCACTCCCATGTTTGGCTGGATTCTCATTCCTTATCCATCCACATCTCCCAGATGGATTCTGGATAGAATTCTTTCCATTTTTCTTTTTCTTTTTTTAAAGATTTTATTTATTTATTTGACAGAGAGAGACACAACGAGAGAGGGAACACAAGCAGGGGGAGTGGGAGAGGGAGAAGCAGGCTTCCCGCCGAGCAGGGAGCCCGATGCGGGGCTCGATCCCAGGACCCTGGGACCCTGGCCTGAGCCAAAGGCAGATGCTTAATGACTGAGCCACCCAGGCGCCCCTCTTTCCATTTTTCTAATCCGGATGCCCTCTTCTTACACTTCTCCCGGACCCTCCTGTCTTTCTTAATCCCAGCGTCAGAAGTGACCTCAGCACCTCCTCCTGGGCTCCCAGGGAAGCCCCTGATTAGATCTACAAATTAGATCTTGTATATTTTCCTTTACCAATTATGTGTCTAATTGTCGCAGCCATGACATGCTCCATCAAAATTTAAAGATGTTAACTGTTCTCGAGAGTGACTTTTTGATTCAACCATTATTTCCTGGAGTTGTTGCTTGACTAGAGATTTGGTTAAATTTCAGGTAACATGAACTTCCTTTTCATAGAATGTCCAAGTCTATGCTGTTCTATCTGCCGGCCTGGTTTTTCTCACGAGGGCTGCCCATTGTGGGTCAACAGTCAGCTCCCTTATTTTTCCTATCAGAGATTTTCTGTACCACATATAATAACAAAGCTATTACCTTGTTTTTGTAGAAATGAGAACGAAATCTTTGCTTTCTAATTTTACTCCTTCCCCTTTATTATGGGTTGCTACTGTCTTATGCAACATGATTCTTCCCTGGGTACTCATCAGCAGGTATAGTTTTCAGCTTGGCATGGCTCAAACCTCAAACTTTTGAAGTTTTAAAGCAGCCGAGTTGCACAGACGGTCAATAAATCACTCGCTATCGCCACTTTATTGCTTGTAAGGTGATTACCCCGCTTTGCCCATAGCGACTTTTCAATTTGATTAAAATGCAGTTTCATCAGGTCGTGGTTGAGTCCTCCAGATATAAAAATACATAAAGCAATGAGAGAAGCCTATGCTCAAATATTTTTATAACTGCCCTTCACCTCTTTAACCATCTACTCCAGCACTTTTGTGGTCCTCGTCCTATAATTCAAAATTCCATGCTCTTTGCCAAAGTAATTTTTATTTAGTGCTTATTCCAACCTCTTGTCTTTGTGAGAGTGTATTATTTTTTTTCTGCTACCTGGTGGGGAGCATTGGTCCTGCTGCAAAGCATTTTCTTCGTCTCAAGTTAGCTCCTATGTGATCTGTAAATCAGGCTCTGATGGTGGTATAACATGGAAGGTGTCTTGGTTTATTTGCGGTTGTTTTCCAGACCCAGGGAGCCAGGAGAGTGGGGGTGGAATTGTTATCTTAGGCAGGAAAAGGAGAAACTCTCAGCTTGGCTACTGTCCTGGCAGCAGGAGCCCTTTTGACTGTATGGAGGCTGGAAGTGTGACACCGGGCTGGGGGTGGGGGGCCTCTTCTCTGTCAGAGACTTCTCTTTGTGTCCTCACACGTTGGAAGGGGTGAGGGAGCTCTCTGGGGTCTCTTTTATAAGGGCACTAATCCCATTCCTGAGGGCTTTTTGACTTAGACACCTCCCAAAGGCCCCACCTCCTAACATCATCACACAGGGGGATGGGATTTCTGGGGCACACGCACGTTCAGACCATAGCATGGGTCATGTGGCAGGCTGTCCTCTTGCCTTGTCCATCTCCAGGGGCCCCCCTCCCCGCCTCCACCCTGCACCCCCTACACAGGGCCTCTGCCCTCTGCGGATTGCCTTGGCTTCCACCAGCGGGTTAATGCCTGGCCAGCATTTCACTCTGCTCTAGCTGTAGCGTTTGAATATCCTCAGTGGTGACACGTAGGCCGCCTGCCTGAGTGGTGCACTTTATGTCACAAGAGAACCAGTTATTGGTTCGGTTGCAGTGATTGGATTTGGAGTGGCAGGCCTCGACCCTGTTTGCCCCTCTGGCCCTCTCGTTTTGACGCCTTGCTTTTGCAGAACTTGAGGTTTTTCAGAAATGCGTGTGGTCGATCTTCTTACTTTGCGGTTCTGTATTTGTGCATTTGTCTACTCACTAAAGTGTACTCGTAACCCCACATTGATACGTGCGGTACTCTCCTGGTTATTCACAGACATGTGCGTGTGCGGAGTGGCAAAAAGTCTGAGTCACCCGAAAGGCACCCTCCTGGCTCCGCCATCTTACTTCGGCTCTCCGACTATAAGCAAGTGTCCTTTGTACAGATTGTTTAGTGCCATGTTTTTCACATTTTTGTGCTTTTTTTTTTTTTTTTTAATTGGTAATTTGCTGTTTGTCGTGGGCCCGAAATGCAGGGCTGGAGTGCCCCTGGTGTTCGCACGCGCAAGAAGGCTGCAGTGCGCCTTGTAGAGAGAAGCCGTTGGGCAGATAAGCTTCACTGGGGTAGGAGTTGCAGCGCTGCAGCCGTGACTTCAGTGGGAGTGAATCAGCGGTATATATTCAAGAAGAGGTCTTCAAACAGAACCACAAAAAAGCAGGGTTGTATATTGCCTGGCTTACAAAAACGTGACCAGAGGCTTGTAGGAACCCAGCCCTGCGTATCACTTAGGGACATTGCTTCGGTAGTCACTAATTCGGTGTTCACGGGGACTTTATAGAACGGGACGGCTGCACGTAACAAAACTTGACTGTGCTCCAGACCGAAGGTTGGTGTCTCCCCAAAATTCACGTGTTGGAACCTGACCCTCGACGGGATGGTGTTAGGAGGTGCGGCCCTTGGGCCGTGATCGGGCCGTGAGAGCTGAGCCCTCATCAGTGGGGTCATGTCCTTACAAAAGAGGCCCCGGAGAGCTCCACCGTTGTTTCCGGCGTGTGACGGCGCCGTGAAGAGATGGCTGCCCATGAACCGGGATGGGGCTCTTCGCCGGACACCGACCCTGCAGCGCCTTGATCTTGGACTTCCAGTCTCCAGGACTGTGAGAAATGCACTTGCGTTGTTTCTAAGCCGCCCAGTCTGCGGTGCTCTGTCAGAGCAGCCTGAGAGGGCTAAGGCGGACTGGATCTACATTCCGTTACAGCAGAGCTGCCTGTGCGGGAGCAATTCCTTCTGCCTGGAAGGTAGCATGCGAAAATACTACATGGGGCTTGTTCTGCCGTGTCTCTGCAGATGTCCTGAGTGACGGTTTTCATGCCAGGCTTTCTCTCCCAGGTGTAACTAGCATGGTCAATGCAGGAGCGATGAGCGGCTCTGGAAACCTGATGGATTTCCTCGATGAGCCATTCCCTGATGTGGGGACGTATGAGGACTTCCACACCATCGACTGGCTGCGGGAAAAGTCCCGGGACACCGACAGACACAGAAAGGTAGGTGGCAATCATAAAGACATGTCGAAGGGGCTCCCGTCAGGTGGCTGGGCCGTGCTTTCGTGGGGCAGTTAGTTGCTGAGGTAGGGTTAGGTCACATGTCACATACTGGGTGAGATTCTGAAGGAGAGAAGGGCTAGCGAGAGAGGCAGAGATGTGGACAGGTAATTACGAGATTACGCGCGTTGGGTGGGAGGCTGCGTCATGCAGAGGTATGGTGTGGAGGGCGATGAGGGGACTCCAGAACCAGACAGATCAGGTACATCCTGCCCTTGATGCCTTTAGGCTGGGTGACTTTTGGGGCGCCATTTCTAGACCCTGGTTTCTCCTCTATAAGGGTGGAGGCCATTATATCTAAAGATTGAGTGAGTTGAGTTGTCTGTGTATGGAAGCACATACCACAGTGCCTGGCAGCTAGTTGGCGATCAATCTCTATTTTAGTGGCCACCATAAAGTTCGGTATAAGTGCTGCGGGATCATTCAGAGGGATGGTTAGGGAAGGGTTTTTTAGAGATGGTGACGTTTCAGTTGGGCCTTGAAGGTTGCCTAGGAGTTTGCTAGGCGGAGAAAGGGGAAAAGATTCTAAAATCAGGAGGGGCCCTTTTTTAAGTCAGAGGCATGAGAGAACACCGCACAGTAGGTGGTTCGGGAGCTCTGAGGCCTGGGGGAGGGCTCACAGGATGGGAGGACACGGGCAGGGCGCCACACCGGGAATGACCAAGTAGGCCATGAAGATGAGTTTGGGTTTCATCTTCATGGTCACAGAATACAAGAAAAATGCATTGCAGAGGGAGAAACAGGAAGCTTGGAAATCAGTTCAGGAGAAAAGAGGAAGAAGGTCTGACGAAAGGCAGCGAAGTGCAGATGGAGAGAGGCTCAGGGTCAAGAGTTATTCAGAGGAGCCCCTGACAGGATTTGGGGTGGGGTATTGGGGATAGGCAGGGAGTGGAGTCCAGGATGAGGCCCTGGCCGCGGTTAGAAGGGGGAGATGCCCTTGTTGGCAAGAAGGAAGGAAAGGGGAGCAACAGATTTGAGGGCGAGGCCGGTGAGTTCTGTCTCAGACACTTTGGCTTCGAGCTGTTTACCCAGCCTGCAGCTGGGGGTGGTTGGCAGGCGGCGAGAACTCTGTAGTTCAAGGGTGCGGTCAGGGCTGCGGTGCAGAAGGAGGAGGCCCCAGCATGTGAGTGGGCGCCGAAGCTTTAGAAGTGGCCCAGGTGGCCTGGGTGTGCACGGAGAAGGAGAAGTAAGGAGGGGGTCAGAACTCTGGGCCCTGCCGAGATTTAGCAGGTGCAGTGGGAGGTCGGCGGGGCGCCTGTGACAGACAGCTGGGAGAGACAGGGAGAGGTGAAGGAGGGCAACCGGCAAAGTGGTCTCGAGCGAGAGGAGGAGAGAGTGGTGAGGCCGGGGTGGCCAGCCAGGTCACTCTCCGTGGAGAGGTAAAGTAGGAGGCAGCCCCACAGCCTGGGGACTGTCGGCGGCCTCGGGGAGAGCACCTTCCGAGCAGGACGGGGAGTGACGTCCGGGGTGCTGCTGGGTCCCATCATTTCCCGCAAGTTGGCGGGAGTGGGGTAGGGAGTCCGGAAGATGAGCCAGCCTCCTGGCTCCGGTGTGGAGGACCGTGGCAGAGAGGGCAGCCTCCGGCCCGGAGCGGAGGTTGCTGGACTCTGACCCACGGGCGCAGTCCAGCCTGGCACCTGCTCTGGTAAGGAAAGTTTCCGTGGAACACAGCCGCGCCCATTCACATGCACACTCCCCATGGCTCCTCCTGTGCCCCCGTAGCAGAGCTGAGTAGTTGTGACAGAGGCCGGCTGACCCGCAGAGTCGAAAATCTTTCCAGAAAATGCTCTAAGGAGCTCAGGGAGGAATGGCGTTGGAACAGTGTGTTCAGACACGTTCATCCACCTGCTGAAGGTGATCCGGGCTAGCCCATTCAGAGTTCTTGCTGCTAGCCTTTGACCTTGAAAACTAAAGAAGGAAATGAACTCTGTGTTGAAGAGCTTCTTTCGTGAGCAGACCGTAAGGTGAGGGTTAAAGTGGTAATTCTCATTTAAAATGGTGACGACGAATGGCTGTCTCCCTTCAGAATGGCTTCTGAATCCTCAAAGTTCAAATCACACTTAAGTTTTTTTTAATTAAGTGAATTTTGGGGGGATTCTAAGTCTTCGGTGGCTACAATGGCATCTCTGCAACTGCGTGAACCCGAAAGCCCGTTTTGTCATTGCGCCAGATAACGGGTAAGGTGACGGAAGTGGCAATTTAGTCACTTAATTACATTCGTTTTCTCACTCACCCCATTTCCCGGAAGAAACCGTTTCAGGGAAGGAAGCGTGAATTGGAAAAGGTATCCCGAATCAACTACTGTGTCTTTCTGTTTCTAGATAACCAGCAAAAGCAAGGAGTCCATATGGGAGTTCATCAAGAGTTTGCTGGATGCCTGGTCAGGCTGGGTGGTGATGCTGCTCATCGGCCTGCTGGCGGGTACGTGGAGGGCGCACGCGGTACCCCCCCGCCCCCCGCCCCCCGCCCCCCGCCCCCCGCCCTGGGGACGGGGCTGGAGGTGCCGCGGAGCCTCAGAGCACCAACTCTTCCTGTTCAGGCTGGTGTTCTGAAAATGGACTGGTTCTCTTTTACCCCCGTGCAAGGGATTTATTACTTGAAATGCCTCAGAGCAAACTACACGACCATACACTTAACATAAAACGTATCATCAGTAAGGCAAGACCCCAAGGCATGGGCCCAAATGCAGTCACTGGAAAAAAGCTGTAATTAGAGGGCCATGTCTGCGCAGCACACAGGTTTATGGCCATACTGGATTTTATCGAAAGCACATAGTTTGCATTCTGTAGTACCGGGTTATGTAGAAGGCAAGCAAGTATGGGAACACTTTGATCTCTAATAATAAAGTGCCGTATGAGAGTGGTCTTTACCAATACTGGCGGGCCCTGGAGTGAATCGTACACATCCTAGGATATTCAGAATAATCCGAGACCCCTGCAGGGCCTGAGGTAGGCCCAGAGCAAATATGTCCAGCCTGTGCGTTGTTCTGACCCTCAGGGACACTGCATCCTCCAATTTTTATAATCCCAGCACCATGCTTGCGAGCAGTCGATGTTTTCCAGAGTGAATGGAGGCGTATCTGGAGGGGAAACCTGCCCTTCTAATATCAAATGTACCAGCTCTCCATGGAAATTCTGTCCTGAGACGTTAATTTCTTTTTAGGAGGCTCTGAAGGTTAATGTCTAAGATTTAAAAAATCTGAGCACACTAACAGCGATTCCCTTAATAAAAATCACCTACCTGTAATAACATAATAGTTACGGTTATAGGATTGATCAGCGAATGACTGTCATAAAGGCAGAATATAGTAAAAGCTGTGAGAAAGACAGAATACTAACGGGGCATAGATACAAATTGTGTGATTACAGAGGGTTTGGATTTCTGGGCATTCCTTCCTTTATCCCGTACACAGTTGTGGGAGGGGCTTGGTTGCCAGGGAGGGCAGCTGGCGCTGAAGAGCCAAGAGTGCTGAAGCGGGGATCCTTTTCCTCTTCTCACGGTGGCTGTTCTCGCATGTCCCCAATTTTAGCCTTCTGTTCCCAGGGGCAGCCCGGGTATAGACCAGCAGCAGTGTTGGCAGGGAATTCGATTTCACGCCTATACGGTGTTTCGCCACGAATTTGACTGCTTCCATGAACACCTTTGTAAGTGGGCAGGGGAGGAATTTGCTGGGAATTTTGATGTCTTTATTTAGAATAGATTTAAGAAACTGTATACCGTATCATTATTCTTGGCTTCTAGGCAGGAGAAATAAAGAGAGGGAATGCAGAAATCCGGAATAGATGTTCTAGCGTCTCGCCAGAGCAGACAGCACAGCATGGATTTATTGACTAACGTAAGAGCCCGACCGGGCTCTCTTGAACAAATCTGATATTGACCAGTTGGTTTCCTTGTCAACCCAATTTCCGCCAGTTCTTTCAGGAAGAATCACCTGGGGAATGAAAGCAAAACATCTGGCTGCCTGGGCTTCAAGTCAGTAGTATCCCGGGAGATGGTGCCCTAGCATTGGGTAAAGCCCCGCCCCCTTCCTTTCTCCCAGCCCCCTCCACCTGTGATCCTAATGCGCAGCCAGGGTTGAGCACCCCCGCCGAAGGGTGCTCTGTGGCCCCTGCCCCCCAGACGATACAGGAGGAAGGTGAGAAGGGGATGACGCTGGCAGTGAAGGTGGCTAAAGTGTGCTGGCTAAAGTCAGCAAATTGTGTCCCCTTCACTTTTCTCCTCCCCAGTTCTCACAGTGTGGGAGGACTCAGGGGGTCCCCTTGCCTGGCCAGTCCTCTCTCCTCAGCGACACCCTGGACATTATATTTTGACTCCCATGATGGAGAGGCCCAAGCGGCGGCTCCTCTGCGGGGCGCTTATTGAGAGTCCCCACTGGGTGTCGCTGTTGTTCCACCGACCGAAGCCGAGCCGCGCGGCGCTGTCAGGCAAGTCAGCCCAGAAGACCGGGGGAGGGATGAGCTGATTGCAAACGAAATCTGGGATGATCATTGGGTCTCGCCCTTGGATATCTACAGGACTCCTCCCTCGCCTTCTTTAGGTCTTTTTTTTTTTTTTTAAAGATTTTATTTATTTATTTGAGAGAGAGAGAATGAGAGAGAGCGTAAGGTGGGGGAGGGTCAGAGGGAGAAGCAGACTCCCCGCCGAGCAGTGAGCCGGATGCAGGACTTGATCCCGGGACTCCAGGATCATGACCTGAGCCGAAGGCAGTCGCCCGACTGAGCCATCCAGGCGCCCCTTCTTTAAGTCTTTGTGCAAATGTCTTACAATGCTTGAGGTATTCCCTGACCACCTTTTCTAAAAGTCACCTCTCCCTCTCACAGCCTCATCCCCCTCGCCCCAGTGTGTGCGTGTGTGTGTGTGTAAAAGCTTTATTAAGATATATTAAACATTCCATGCAGTTCACCTTGTCAAAGCGTACAGTGCAGCGGTTTCTAGCATATTCAGAGTTGTAAAACCATCACCGCGCTCCATTTTAGAACATTCTTGTCAGCCCCCAGAGGACCTCCATACCCCTTGGCTATCAAGCCCTGCTGCCCCCAGCCGCCTCCCAGCCCCAGGAAGCTGCTCATCTCACTCTGTGTCTCTGTATATTTGCCTATTCTGGACATTTCGTATAAGTGGAATCCTACAGTATGTAGTCTTGTGGTTAGCTTTCTTCACTCGGTGTCCTGTTTCTAGGGTTCGTCCTGGAGTGGGCATCAGCGCTCCGTTCTTCTTTGTTGCCAAAAACTATTCCATTGTGTGGCTGGACCACATTCGATTTCTTTGTTCAGCAATATGGGCCTATGGGCTGTTTCCACTTTTTGGCTACTGTGAATAGTGCTGCCGTGAGCATTCGTGTGCAAGTCTTCGCATAGGCGTATGTTTTCACGTCTCTTGGGTGCACACCTCGGAGTGGAATTGCTGGGTCAGATGGCAGCTCTGTGGTTAACTGTTTGAGGGACTGCCAGGCTGTTTTCCAAAGGGGCTGCACCCTTGTCACGTGCTGTAATTTGCTCCCTAGCACTTAACTGTCTTCTCACAGAGCCCTGATTTGCTTATGTTGTTCAGTGTCCTGTACCCCCCCGGCCCCCCCCTCCCCCCCCCCGCCGATGTGCAGGTCCACAAAGGCTGGGAGCTGAGTCTGCTTTGTTCCCTGCCATATCCCCAGGGCGTGGAACAGGGACTAGCACATAGGAACTTGGTGCTTAGTAACTACCCCTTGAGTAAATGGATGGACCTGGGTTTTCTGATTTTCATTCCTTTATGGATTTATGGATATAAAGTTCCTGCCACGTACCCAACACAGATACAACAGTGGACAAGGCAGGTGGCCCTTGCCCACTTAGAGTGGACACAGAGCCTGGACATCTGGCCTGACCCCTACTTTGCGTACAAACCACACAACAGAATCTCCACCCCCCCCACACTTATGGACTAGACACCGTACACACACACACACTCATGTGATTAGGATATGAGAGGTATGATGATGGGGGAATGCCTGGGAGGTACATCTAGGCCAGACTTAGGAAATCAGGAAAGGCTTCTCGGAGGAGGTGATGTAAATATTGAATCTGGAAGATAAATAGGAGGTTGGCAGGTCTGGGAAGGACAGTGCTGATTGAGGTGGTGTAGAAAGGAGAGCCTGGTGCACTCCAGGAATGTGGTGTGGGTAGGATGGGGGCAGTTAGTGATGGAAAGAGATGAGGTGGGAAAGGTATGAGGGGCCAGCTGTTCGAGTCTGCCACCTGCTAAGGATTCAGGCGTTCTCCCAAGAACAGTGGGCAGCTTTTGATGTAACAGGAGAGCAGGGAAGGGTAAGCCCTGGTGCAGGTGTGCAGATGCAGATGGAGAATTGATGTTGTTATAAGGATCCAGTAAAAGTTTGAAAAATTTAGTAGCCTGAAAGTATTCCCTGCCTCCCTATTAGACTCTGGAATGGGTTATTCTAGAAAGAGATCCAAGGTAGCCTTCTGTGGGCCACTGCCCACACTTATTTATCTCACTTCTACCCGCCTTTAGTTACCTACTTATATAGATCCACAATCCCTTATCCATGATTTAAAAAATCCAGAAAGTTCTGATAAGTGGGATTTTCCAAATTTGGTGGCAAAACCTTACTTGAATGATGAGGCTATTATAGTCCTTATGCTTCCTTTTTGTCTGAATTGTCAGGTTTGCCTGAGAAATATTAATGTATGTGATCCCAGCATCAGGCCCCAGAAGCCACTGAGGGGGTTACCTCATTTATAGGGCCTATGTACCCTGTTTCTAGAATTTGGAAGGGGTCAATTTTAAAAGCTGCTTGGCCCCAGTGGCTTGTGATGACTTAAGCCCTGCATGTTTGTCGCTCCTGCTGGATTTAAGCCACCCAGGCACCACCTGTCCTTGGCCTCTGTTTCTCATGGGGCTGGGCACGGCCTTGCCCACAGCGGAAGTGCTCAGGAGACCTCTCCATGGCCCTTCCGCTGCGTGGTCGTAACCCCCCTCCCCCCACCCCGACTCCGGCTCGGTCTGCCTGGCTGCTGGGCTCCCACGTCGGCCCCCTGGCCCTGTGTTCTCCTGCCTCATCACAGGATGGTTCCTCTGAGTGGTTCTTGTTGCTTCTTCCAGGCACCTTGGCTGGGGTCATCGATCTTGCCGTCGACTGGATGACCGACTTGAAGGAGGGGGTCTGCCTGTCTGCCTTCTGGTACAGCCACGAGCAGTGCTGCTGGACTTCCAACGAGACCACTTTTGAGGACAGGGACAAGTGTCCCCTATGGCAGAAATGGTCGGAGCTGCTGGTGAATCAGTCGGAGGTGGGTTTCTGGGGTCCTGGCTGGGGACGCCCGCCATTCCACGGGCGCTTTGCAACCCCACTGGGCCTTCTGTGCCTGTCTGGGCTTCCTTCCAGGGTCTGTTCTGATAACTGTCCTTGGCTCAGTCCCAGCGCGACTTGGCTTCTTCCAGCTCTGATGTGCCAGCTAGAGCAGGATAAGCTTTCCCTACTGATTCACGTGCATGATATATGTATATATTTGTAAAAGTCTTGTTGTTTCTCTTACCAAGAGTGGTTTGCTGACTGTGCTGAAGAAGCAGCATTGCTTTGTATATCTTCTGATAAGTTATCTTTTCTTTTGTTGAAAACAATACGAGCTTTATGAGATATGATTCACATTCTGTATGGTTCTCCCATTTAAAGTGTACAGAGCACTAGCTCGTGGGAGATTCACAGAGTTGTGCTGCCATCACCACAGTACAATTTTAGAGCCCTTCATCATCCCAAAAGAAACCTGGTACCCATGAGCAGCCACTCCGCACTCCTCCCAACCCACCAGCCCTAAGCAACCTCTGATCTCTCTGTCTCCAAGTGGAATCCTACATGATGTGGACTTTGGTGTCCCACTTCTTTCACTCAGCATCCTGTTTTTTAGGTTCATTCATGTTGTAGCATAAACTGGCGTTCCCTTCCTTTTCGTGGCCGAATCCTGTTTCATTGTATGGCTAGACCGTATTTATCTACTCCATAGTTGAGGAACACGGGCTGCTTTCGCTCTTGTGCTGTTAGGAACGATTTTGTTTTGAACGTTTGTACACAGGTTTTTGTGTGGGCATATTTTTCATCTCTCTTGGGTCTAGACTTAGTCGGGGAATTGGTGGGTCCTATGGCAACTCTGTGTTAAGCCTTTTGAGGAATATTTTCCAGAGTGATCTTGCCATTTTCCAACCCCACCAACTGCGTGTGAGGGTTTCTGTTGGCCCACCTCCTTGTCAGCACTTGTGATAGTCTGGATTCGATTCTAGCCATCCTAGCAGGTGTGACGTGCCATCTCAGTGTGGTTTAAGTACTCGTCTTCCAGTGCATTTTAGGAGTGTATTGTGGAAGATGTTTCTGGGCCTTCTGTGATAGGAGTGTTCGGTGAACTACAGACTGGCACTTGCCTTCACGGCGCTTAGAGCTTCACATCTGTCCAAAAGTCTTCATTCGGGAAGAAGGTTAACTTGTAACTGAATTCAGTGGCGATTATGGTGACTCTGGGTCATGGACAGATCAGAAACCCAGGTGGGGCAGGGGAGCTCGGTTGGCGAGATTCACATGAGGGGTAATGCGAGGATGTATTTCTGGAAGATGGATGTGCTTTATCCCTTTTCTCCTCCACCCTGCAACCACACACTCTTTTTTTTTTTTGCCCGATACCACAGCTGAAGGATATGTGGAGTGCACTTGGCCATTTTGCTAAACCTCTTCCTCAGTGGAATTGAAAATTAATTCCTTCCAATCTCAGAAGTAGACAGGGATCTTGAAATCTCACACATTCTCAGTGCTCTCCATTACTTCCCCCAAAAGTCTCTATTTGGGTTGATGGGAGTGGGCAGGCAGAATTGGCTGGACACCGTATTTTATTTCTTGTCTCCTGCCTGCACTATGTTTTTTTGGGGGGGAAATATGGCTGTCCATGTTTTCAACCGTTTCTAAGATTTATACTTTGATTCAAAGAATCACTGTTAGCAAGAATGAGAAGTTATTTTTAATCTCAAAAAAGTATGGTTTTAAGTGGGTGAAGAGTATTCCTCAGTCCGATTTCTCTTGCATAGGGTGGAATATACGTGATTGTAAAGGCCTCCAGGTCTCCTGGAACGTGGTTTTGCATTTAATAGACGCACATGTGGCCCTATCCATAGCCTGACTTGTAGGTGACCTCGCTTTCCTTCGCCCCTCGCTTGACTAATCCAGATGGTGGCAAGAAGCTGAGGCCGAGAGAAATGTCTCCACCCAGCAGACCAGGTCCTCAGCATCAAAGACCCCAGACTGCGTGTTTGGTTCAGAGAGCATTCTTCATTCATCAGATAATTTGGAATTACTATTCAGAGCATTTAGAGGGAAAAACGCGTGCCCCGGGACCACAGTGGGTTTCAGTGCTGCGGCTTGCGCCGCCGTGGGTGGGGCCTTCATGAAGGCCGGGGAGGCCGCTGCACCGCAGCCGAGACGCGTCGAACCTTCCAGGGGCTCTGCGGCAGAGTTTTCGGCGTCACGCCTTTCATGACCTCTAGCGCGAGTGACGACGCCAGCCGAGGGCTGTCCGCCGCATCCATGCAGGCGGAGATCTCCGCCGGTGGAGGGCACGTGGAAACAGCTCCCGGAGGGACGGACGCCCGGGGCTGGGTTGGTGTGTGCCTGCCGTCGCAAGAGCGGACACAGGGCCGGACGCGAAGCTGCGCAAGGCCCCGAAGCTCCCGCTGCCCGGGGGGAGGGGCGGGGGGCCGGGGGGGCGGAGCTCGGCGCCGCCAAGGCTCACGTGTTCTTTCTTGTTTTGTGTGTGTTGTCCAGGGTGCCAGTGCTTACATTCTGAATTACCTCATGTACATCCTGTGGGCATTGCTGTTTGCCTTTTTGGCCGTCTCCCTGGTGCGCGTGTTTGCACCATATGCCTGTGGCTCGGGTATACCAGAGGTGAGTGGGGGCCGAATTTCTCTTGTGCCAATAATAAGAAAAGCAAATACTTACGTAGCACTTAGGTGCCAAGCACAGTCCCGAGCATTTGGTATCTCTTAACTCCTTGAGTCCTTCCGGTGAGCCTGTGAGGCAGGCTCTGCTATATTTCATGTGATAGTTGAGGAAACTGAAGCACAGAGAGGTTAAGCAACTTGCCTGAGGTCACACAGCTGGTTAGCTGCAAGTTGAACCCAGCTGTCTGGCTTCAGGATTTATGCTCTGTATTCAGGATTTATGCTCTTTTGCTTCTCAGATGATTAAATTCTTGTCTTTGCAAACCAGGCATAACTCTTACAGCCTGTGGAATCTGAGTTCATTAACCACATACATAAATGTGGCACTTGAGAAACTTGTCAGTGCATCTGTGACGTCATGTGAAAAAAGACAGTAACGGAGGTTTGTTGCTCGGAACGTTGACTGATGAGTCAACTCTCTTATGAGTCAACTCCCTTGCCACGTTTTGCTCCTCTGGTGACAGGGTAATAGCAATCTCTAAAATACGTAATTCCACATTCAGGGCATGCACCGAGAATGCACCCCTGTGAGTTAGAGTTCTTATATCGTCTAGCACTCTCATATAACCTGAGTGTGAGGGAGGTGACCTCACTGATCGAGAAGAATGCCTGAGATTAAACTTCAAATCTAGGAGGCTACAATAATGATAAATGAGCAAGTTCCTCCAAAAGGCCAGAGAGTGAACATTTTAGCCAGAAAGAAGTTTAAAACTTCTCATATTGGGGTGTCTGGGTGTCTCAGTCGAGTAAGTGACTGATTCTTGTTTTCAGCTCAGGTCATGATCCTCAGGGTCGTGAGATGGAGCCCTGCGTGGGGCTCCTCACTTAGCTCGGCATCTGCTTGGGAATCTCTCTCCCTCTCCCTCTGCCCCTTCCCCCTGCGCTCTCTCTCTACAACAAATAAATAAATATGTTTTTTAAAAAGTTCTTATATTGTCACGATTATCAAGCTGGTGCTTCAGCAGTGCCCCTAGAGGTGGAGATGGTGAGTTTAAAGATGCGACCCGTGGTGGCAACAGACCCACATTGGTCCCTGCTCCCCTGCATCCACACTCTTTGGTGGTACTTGCCGACACAGCCGCTGTTCCGGGCAGTTCTTGGACAGGGCTGGAGTAGTTGAAAGATTGTCAAAAGCGGGCGCCTGGGTGGCTCAGTCGGTTGAGCGACTGCCTTCGGCTCAGGTCGTGATCCTGGAGTCCCGGGATCGAGTCCCGCATCGGGCTCCCTGCTCGGCGGGGAGCCTGCTTCTCCCTCTGACCCTCCTCCCTCTCGTGCTCTCTGTCTCTCATTCTCTCTGTCTCAAATAAATAAAGAAAATCTTAAAAAAAAAAAAAAAAAAAGATTGTCAAAAGCAAAGCCCAACGTTGTCCTGTTCAGGAAAGAGAGAAAAATAGAGTATGTCATGCTGACTTTTTGTTGGTTTGCATTGACATACTGCGGCAGGAACCAGAAGAGCAAGCCGCAGCACCATGCTGTTGCCTTCGTAGAGTCCGTTCTGCTCCCGTGCGGCACGGGCGTTCCTGCAGGTCCCGGGCTGTGCAGCAATGCACGGGCAAGCCCTCCGCCCTGGCGAGCAAACGGCAGCAGGAGCCCAACAGTCAGAAACTGCATCAGCGACGCATGTGAAAAGATAGAAGCCTAGAAAAACAGTAGCCCAGGGGCGCCTGGGTGGCTCAGTTGGTTGGGCATCTGCCTTCGGCTCGGGTCCTGGTCCCAGGGTCCTGGGATCGAGCCCCGCATCGGGCTCCCTGCTCGGCGGGAAGCCTGCTGCTCCCCTCCCTCTGCCTGCCGCTTCCCCTGCTTGTGCTCCATCGCTCTGATAAATAAATAAAATCTTAAAAAAAAACAACAACCCAGTAGCCCAGTTTACACGTGTGAAACAGTTAAGAAACACAGACTTGCCAGCGCACGTGTGACCTGGTAGACGTTGGAGGCCCACGCTGTGTGCGTTTTGTGCCTTCCTGCGCAGCTCCGTTCTGGTGGTGGCATTTTCTGCGTAGTTCCGTGTTTCTCCCAGATGAAATTGGGCATAAACAGACGCGAAATTTGCATTATGCTCTAGTTCTTCCCCAATGCCTGAATCACACTGGAACAAATTTGTGTTTTCAAAACCAGCGTTACGGCAGAACGGACTGTGTCGTATTTGGTATCTTAAGACCCAAGGCCCCCTGGATGCTAAAGAGCACAGACTGGTGTTGGCCTCTCCGTTTGATGACCCCACTGCCTGACAGTAGGCTTTTTTGGACCCAAGCTACCTTTCCAAAATGAGCAGGTGGCCGATGGGGAATTGGAAAATTTAAAGCAGCAATAAAAGGGGTGATGGCAATCCCATCGTCCCCTTCCAAGAACCAGAGACACATGGCTCAGCTTGTGATCTTGTAGACAGACAGGGGGCTTGGACGTGAGCTCTGTCTGGGAGGGGCTGCCTGGACTTGGTCTTCGTCCAAAGCGGGCATCTATTTGTGACAGCTGAACTCGAAAGGAGTTAAATCCGAAGCCGAGCATGACGTTCCCTATGTGGTGGACGTGCAAGCCACACACTGGTGTGCATGAAACTCAGGAGAGCTGTAGCAAGTGAAAAAAGTGGCAAAAGAATATATAAAGTATGGTTCTATTTATACAAAGTCCACAAATAGCCACAGTGAAACCACACACTGTTTCGTGACACACGTGTATGCTCGATGTATAAAGGTAGGCAAGGAAATGATTGGGCTCGGGGAGCAGGAAGGTTCCACCAAGGAAGCAAACACAGGGCTTTCATAGGTACCCATTCTTCTCTGAAATGTGCTGGTGGGTACAGGGTGCTTGTTTTATTAATACACTTTTTTTTTTTTTGAGTTATACCAATACCCACTGATTTATTTTACCAGTTTTTTTTATTCTTATGTTAATCCCCATACATTACATCATTAGTTAGATGAAGTGTTCCATGATTCATTGTGCATAACACCCAGTGCTCCATGCAGAACGTGCCCTCCTCAATACCCACCACCAGGCTAACCCATCCTCCCACCCCCCTCCCCTCTAGAACCCTGTTTGTTTTTCAGAGTCCATTGTCTCTCATGGTTCGTCTACCCCTCCGACTTCCCCCGCTTCATTCTTCCCCTCCCGCTACCTTCTTCTTCTTTTTTTTCTTAACATATATTGCATTATTTGTTTCAGAGGTACAGATCTGAGATTCAACAGTCTTGCACAATTCACAGCGCTTACCAGAGCACATACCCTCCCCAGTGTCCATCACCCAGTCACCCCATCCCTCCCACCCCACCCCCCACTCCAACAACACTCAGTTTGTTTCCTGCGATTAAGAATTCCTCATATCAGTGAGGTCATATGATACGTGTCTTTCTCTGTTTGACTTATTTCGCTCAGCATAACACCCTCCAGTTCCATCCACGTCGTTGCAAATGGCAAGATCTCATTCCTTTTGATGGCTGCATAATATTCCATTGTATATATATACCACATCTTCTTTATCCATTCATCTGTCGATGGACATCTTGGCTCTTTCCACAGTTTGGCTATTGTGGACATTGCTGCTATAAACATCGGGGTGCGCGTACCCCTTTGGATCCCTACTTATTAATACACTTTTAACCATATATTACATGTAACAGATTCATTTCTCAATTTGTGAAAGAGTTCACAATCTTTTTTTTTAAAGTTTTATTTATTAGAGAGAGAGTGTGCCCGAGCGGGTGGGGGGAGGGGAGAGAGAGCACAGAGGCAGAGGGAGAGGCAGACTCCCCACTGAGCAGGGAGCCCCACACGGAACTCGATCCCAGGACCCCGGGATCACTCCCTGAGCCCAAGGCAGACGCTTGACTGAGCCACCCAGGCGCCCCCACAGTAATCTCTTTAAGTGCCAGGAACCCAGTGGAGGTTTTATAATTAAGTTTTGGTTAGTATGACTCGGTAGTAGCAGAATTCTCACTATCACTATGGGACAGCTTTAAATTCCTAACCTTAGGGTCCAGCTCTTGGAGGAAAGGGACAGAGTAAAAAGGAAATGTAGATAAATGTTTCATGCATAAAGAACCTCCTAGTCAAAACCTGGCTAGCTGTGTAAACCGACTTCACTCGAATTGAGATGCAGGCCCATTCTCCCTCATTTTAGCAAAGGTACTCACTGAGCTATTCAGAAAATAAACCCTTCGTCCGTGGCTTGAAGTGTCAGAGCGCACTTGGGCGGTGGTGCCCTTCGGCACATTTACACACTGCGCATTCTCCCTAGCGTTTGCTTCTGAAACATTTTGATTGCCTGGAATGGACGTTCCTTTGGAAACATTTTTATTTTATTTTATTTATTTAATTTATTTTTAAAAGATTTTATTTATTTGACAGCGAGAGACACAGTGAGAGAGGGAACACAAGCAGGGGGAGTGGGAGAGGGAGAAGTGGGCTTCCCGTTGAGCAGGGAGCCCGATGCGGGGGTCGATCGCAGGACCCTGGGATCATGACCTGAACGGAAGGCAGACACCTAACGACTGAGCCACCCAGGCGCCCCTGGAAACATTTTTAAAAATGCAGATTTAGAGGACATTTATTTTTGTGTATTAAATGCTCTTGTTTAAGCTCTATAAAGCACATTGAAAAGTGTTCTTGGCTATGGGGAGTTAGAGAGAAGAAGGCAAGGGTGTCCCTCTTTCTGTCACTGTTTGCTTTGTTGGTAGAACCCCTGTTGACTCTATAAGAAATCACGTCCCCTTAGAACTTGCTTTGAATTGATGTTTCAGTTCATTACAAAAAGTGAGCACTCTCACAAATATTTATTTACCAGAAAGGTTTTACCTTTAACACCAGCAAGTTGCAAAACCACCCCAATACATCCCGTGAAAGAAAGCACTGCTTGATTCGGTCTCTATTAATTCATACTAAGTAAGTGATTAGGTTTTGGCATTTCCCGGGAATGAATTTGCTTTCTTTAGTCCCTAATTTGATCATGACAATTTTATAAAATCATTATAGAGAATTACAAAATACCTATTACATTGTTCATTTCACCACATGTCGTGGCTGGCAGAGGCTCAGGTAATTTAGATGCTTGTAATCTTCTAAATGCTATTACACTCTTAAACTGTACCCTAGGGTCCAAATCCACATTAACTAACTGACAAAAAATTATAGATAATTTTATTCGAGGCAACACAAAAGGGCAGGACTGTGGCAGGCATAATAAAACATCCCTTAAATAAAGAGATCTGCGATCCCCCGAGCACGGGCTCAAATAAGCCAACTACCACTAGTTAAAGACCACTTTCACCACCGGTACTCTGTCCGCCATTAGTGAGAGGCTAGTTCAGGAAACACTGTCCGACTGTCTAGCTAGAAGACCTCACTCGTGCTTTAAAGGAAGGAGCTCATTGAGTTCTTGGGAAATGCGTGCCTGTACGCTCACTCACGTGGTCTTTCTCTGTGAATTAAGAAACAGATCTCTATCGGGGCGCCTGGGTGGCTCAGTTGGTTAAGCGACTGCCTTCGGCTCGGGTCATGATCCTGGAGTCCCGGGATCGAGTCCCGCGTCGGGCTCCCTGCTCGGCAGGGAGTCTGCTTCTCCCTCTGACCCTCCCCCCTCTCATGCTCTCTCTCTCTCTATCTCATTCTCTCTCTCAAATAAATAAACAGATCTCTATCAATAATGCCTGAGGTGACGTTGCTCCATTCATACGCCTTTAAAATTTTGAGGATTAGCTCACTTCACGACCCGCCCCGAATCGCCAAAGGTGACATGATGCCGGAGAGTGTTTTGGGACCGTCCCCTGAGTAAGGAGAAATGAGGAATACCCGTACTACTCTTTTCAGGAATGGAGCAGTGATTCTCCACCTGGGCTGCATTTTTGAATTACCCGGGGAGGCTGTATCCCCAGGTATATCCCATGGCTGTATGCCATGCCTGGGATACGCCTCAGACCAACTCCATCAAATCTCTGGGGGGAGAGCCAGTCCTCACTGGTATCTAATTCCCCAGGTGATTCCAGTGAGCGTCAAGGCCTTGAGAAGGGCTTGAGGACTGTAATAGCTCTTTTTTTTTCCTAAATTTTTATTGTTATGTTAATCACCATACATTACATCATTAGTTTTTGATGTAGTGTTCCATGATTCATTGTTTGTGCATAACACCCAGTGCTCCATGCAGAACGTGCCCTCTTTAATACCTATCACCAGGCTAACCTGATCCTCCCCCTCCCCAGAACCCTCAGTTTGTTTTTCAGAGTCCATCGTCTCTCATGGTTTGTCTCCCGCTCCGATTTCCCCCCCTTCATTCTTCCCCTCCTGCTATCTTCTTCTTCTTTTTTTTCTTAACATATATTGCATTATTGGTTTCAGAGGTACAGATCTGTGATTCAACAGTCTTGCACAATTCACAGCACTCATCATAGCACATACCCTCCCCAGTGTCCATCACCCAGCCACCCCATCCCTCCCACCGCACCCCGCACTCCAGCAACCCTCAGTTTGTTTCCTGAGATTAAGAATTCCTCATATTAGTGAGGTCATACGTATCATATGACCTGTAATAGCTTTTTGAGACATTGATTTCTGGGCAGAGCAGTGTCCACTAGGAGGCACTTTGAAGATATGCAAATATCCTGACACTGACAAGAGATAACCTTGTCCCATTGTGTGTTATGCCTTGGGAAAACCGAAATTGACCACAGATTTCATTGGCTGACTCACTCATCATAGGCTTGTAAATTGCCAGCTCACACAGTGAACATTCACTCCATTTCAGCCAGTTGTTGGGAGAGGTTGAAGGTAAAAAATTACCCATTGGTGATACTTCTGTATCCAAAGATCGGAGTTTTAGGTAAAGAGGACTCCAGTATATGAACTTCATCACTGAGATTGGCACCCAGTTGAATTCTAAAAGCGTAAGGCGGACTGCACCATTAGGAAGAAAGCCATTATTTGCCTTTTTTGGCCTTTACAAAATGTGGCAGATCTGAAAATGGAACAAGACGACTCTACCTATAGTCAAAGTCCTTCTCAATACCAGAGGGCAGGATTCAATGGAAGGGAAGGAGTTGTCCTGGCGTCAATCATCTTTACATCCCCTGGAGATGTGTTATTAGAATGTTGAGCCTCTTCTTTTTCCAACATCGTGTTAAGAATATTTTCAAGCCTACAGAAAAGTTGAAATAATTGCGCAGTAAACTCCCATACCCCTGGCCTGCAGCAGGGGTCAGCAGACTTTTCCAGTAAAGGGCAGGGAGTCACTATTTTAGGCTTTGTGAGCCGAGAGGCAAAATCTAGCAACTATTCTCAGTAAAAGACTAGTAGTCTTGTTTATAAACTACATTTAAAAAATGTTAAAAGCACCCTTAGTTCGTGGGTCATACAAAAGCAGGCAGTGGACTGGATTTGGCCCACGGGCCATAGTTTGCCGACCCCGACCTACAGCTGAGTTGACCTTTTGTTCTGTTTGCTTTGTCACAGAGCTCGCCAGCTTTCTGTCTCTTTATCTTGAACTTCCCTCGATAATCAAAAATTAACAGTTAAAGTCAACAGATACATGTTTCTCTTCAACACAACAGAGGGTAACATGAACAGGATAAAATGCCATAAAGAAAATGAGACCCTGATAATTACTTCTTCAGTCCTCATTATGATCTCTTATTACTTCAGAAATTTTTTTTTTTTAAGTTCTTTTTTTTTTCTTTTAAAGATTTCTTTCTTTATTTGTGTGTGTGTGTGTGAGAGAGAGAGTGCGGCGGGGGGTGGTGGTGGGAAGGGCAGAGGGAGAGAGAGTCTTAAGCAGACTCTGCACTGAGCATGGAGCCTGACGCAAGGCTCGATCCTGTGAACCTGAGATCAGGACCTGAGCTGAAACCAAGAGTCGGATGCTTAACCGACTGCACCACTCAGGCGCCCCTACTTTAGAAATTCTTTTTTTTTTTTTAAAGATTTTATTTATTTATTTGAGAGAGAGAGAATGAGAGACAGAGAGCATGAGAGGGAGGAGGGTCAGAGGGAGAAGCAGACTCCCTGCCAAGCAGGGAGCCCGATGTGGGACTCGATCCCGGGACTCCAGGATCATGACCTGAGCCGAAGGCAGTTGCTTAACCAACTGAGCCACCCAGGCGCCCCCTACTTTAGAAATTCTTTTTTTTTTTTTTAAGTTTATTTATTTATTTGAGAGAGAGAAAGAACACAAGCGAGCAGAGGAGGGGAACAAGCAGACTCCACGCTGAGCGCAGAGCCCGATGTGGGGCTTGATCTCACCACCCTGGGATCATGACCTGAGCCGAAGGCAGACGCTTAACCATCTGAGCCACCCAGGCGCCCCTACTTTAGAAATTCTTAAGATGTGCTATGCATTGAATGGTTTCAAGTTAACATTAATATAAAATTATATGTTATAAATTCTGTTAATATGAAATTATAGTCAAATCCAACACTAAAGTAGCTTCTCCTTGGTATGATCAAGTGAGTCTAGTGCTGGGGAATTAGTTACTTCCCTCGCTGCGGCTTCACAGCGGCTCACTCACCCTCGTTCTCCATCCTCTGTTTCAGATAAAGACCATTTTGAGCGGCTTTATCATCAGGGGCTACTTGGGGAAGTGGACCCTGCTGATCAAGACCGTCACCCTGGTGCTGGTGGTGTCCTCCGGCCTGAGCCTGGGGAAAGAAGGGCCGCTGGTGCACGTGGCTTGCTGCTGTGGCAACTTCTTCAGCAGCCTTTTCTCCAAGTACAGCAAGAACGAGGGCAAGAGGCGCGAGGTGAGCAGGCTCCGCTCCGATCTGCAGTGACGGCCTCTTCTGGAAGCCCTGTCCCGGCTCACCTGCATTGCAGGTTTGCATGGCAGGGCTGGGGGCTTACACAGAGCTCTTTGCCTCGCAGGTGCTCTCTGCCGCCGCCGCTGCCGGAGTCTCCGTGGCCTTTGGGGCTCCAATCGGGGGTGTGCTCTTCAGTCTTGAGGAGGTGAGGAGGGGTGGCGGGTGGGGGGACGGATTCGTGGTTCCGGGGGCTGAGGAACATGTCGATGGCTAGCACAGCGGGAGACCTCCGTCTCCAACCCTTTGAGGACTGCATTCGAAGGAGTATTGACAAGATTCCTGCAGCTCATTAAGAAGCCACAGTTTTTGCTGTTAAATATGTTTTCAAGTATTATTTTAAAAATTGCCAATTTTTTTTTTTTAATTTTGCAGTCTCTCTTTCTCCTAACTTAATGAGGCATTTCTGTTTTTGGCAACCCGAATGGATCTATTCCAGGGGTCAGCAAATGTTCTCTGCAAAGGGCCAGAGAGTAAATATTCTAGGCTCTGTGGGTCTTCCGGTCTCGGTTGGAACTACTCAGCTTTGTCATTATAGTGGGAAAGCCGCCACACACAACACTCACATGAGTGGGCATGGCCCCATTCCAATAAAACTTTCCTTGTGGATGCTGGAGTGTGCATCTTACATAATTTTCATATGTCACAAAACATTGCTTTTCTTTTTTTTTTAAAGATTTTATTTATTCGACAGAGAGAGACACAGCGAGAGAGGGAACACAAGCAGGGGGAGTGGGAGAGGGAGAAGCAGGCTTCCCGCCGAGCAGGGAGCCCGATGCGGGACTCGATCCCAGGACCCTGGGATCATGACCTGAGCCAAAGGCAGATGCCGAACCGACTGAGCCACCCAGGCACCCCAAAATATTGCTTTTCTTTTGAATATGTTGAATATTACAAAATATTTCTTTTTGACCCCCAGCATTTAAAAACGTAAAAATCCATTCTTAACTCATGGGCCATACAAATACATTTGCCGGGCCAGGGTTTTCCAACCCTTGACCTATTCCGTTGTCTGTAGAATCAGATCCAGAGGTTTATTTGATTTTAAGAGGGTCTTTGTGACATAAACAGAATTAGGATGAAGTATTTTCATTTCTCTTAAAAAATAGCTCAGACACATCTTGACTAGTATCTGTTCCACTTTTAGACACTGAGTCCTTTAAATACTTCGTTGTTGCCTCTTGGTGATAATGAACCCTAGCCTGAGGAAGTCAGTACTGCCCATCTTTGGTCCGTGTGACTGTCCCACTGGGTGGCTGCCGATCAGGGGCTGGGGGCTCAGGGCAGCCCTTTCTTCGGCCAGTCTCATTTTCTCCTTGTTCGTCCCAGGTCAGTTACTACTTTCCCTTGAAGACCTTGTGGAGGTCCTTTTTTGCGGCCCTGGTGGCAGCCTTCACGCTGCGATCCATCAATCCTTTTGGGAACAGCCGTCTCGTTCTCTTTTACGTGGAATACCACACGCCCTGGTACATGGCCGAGCTCTTCCCCTTCATCCTGCTTGGGGTCTTCGGAGGCTTGTGGGGAACCCTCTTCATCCGCTGCAACATCGCCTGGTGCAGGAGGCGCAAAACCACCAAGCTGGGCAAGTACCCAGTGCTGGAGGTCATCGTGGTGACCGCCATCACCGCCATCAGCGCCTACCCCAACCCCTACACGCGCCAGAGCACGAGCGAGCTCATTTCCGAGCTGTTCAATGACTGCGGCGCCCTCGAGTCCTCCCAGCTCTGTGACTACATCAACGACCCCAACATGACCCGGCCTGTGGATGACATCCCGGACCGGCCGGCCGGCGTCGGGGTTTACACGGCCATGTGGCAGCTGGCCCTGGCGCTGATCTTCAAAATCGTCATCACCATCTTTACGTTTGGCATGAAGGTCAGTGAAGGGGAAGGAGGGGGTGGGGCGGGGGGACAGTTCATCTCCTCCTCGCCAGGATAAAATGGCGACGGGGTGGGGGGCAGTTCATCTCCTCCTCCTTGCCAGGGTAAAATGGTGACCGGGGTGGGGGGGCGGGGAACAACTGACCCTTACTGACCGTTTTCTCGTGCCGGGCACTTGACGTTCTTTTTAATTACCAAGAAGCAATGCTTTTGATAAGCAACACGCCTGATAACTAGATTGTAATCACTTTACAAGTGAAGAAGCGAAGGCTCAGAGTATGTCATCCACACAGAGCTGTGTGTAGCTTGAGGAATTTTCATAAAACGCACGCTTGTGTAATGAGCACCCAGGAGCCGAAGCAGAACATTTCAAACCCTGCAGAACCCCTGTAGTGTTCCCCTACTGTTGCTTTTTGTGCGGGACTTTTATGATTTGTTTCATTTTAAAAAGGCTAAGAAGCTGTGTACCTGAGTGTGTAATGGTCAAACACAAACCTGAATTTTTGCCTTAGGAGCAGGGGTGGGTGGACTTTATTAAACAGCCAACTGTCTCCGATCTGCCGTCTCCAAGCAAAGGGATTATTTGTGTGTCTGAGGAAGATGGTAGCAGCCTCTTCTGGTGCCTGCGGGGAGAAGTTTACTTTGCAGTTACAGGGAGTTAAATGACTAGGAATCGGGGGTTGGGGGGCACTCAGAAAGGAAGTTTCTTCTTCAGGAACATCCCAAAGTCTAGAAATCATCCTCGAGGATCCAAACTTAACCTGGAATTTGGTTATAAATCCACTTCCATCCTCAGCTCGATGACTATCTTGGGCAACTCCCAGGCAGGATTGGGGATCACTTGCAGTGTCCATGAACATGGAGAGTCAGGCACGTTCTCTAGCCCACGTCCGATCACTAGATAAACGAAAGTGCATTTCCACACCACAAAATGTGATACACACTGCCACCAAGATCTTCTAGTTTTCATAGTCTAGTTCTTTGCTGCCTTTCACTGGGCGTGAAAATATTCAGAATACTTCTTGGAAAGTAGTTCGTTAGGAAGAGGGAACGGCCCCTGTCTCTCTGGCAGGTGTCGGGCCACTGTATCCTCACCGGGACAGTGAGCCCGTGAGAAGCTTCCGAAGGTGCTGGGCAGCGGCACCGAGCTGCTTGGTTTGACTTGTGAACGGTCGCACGCCTTTCTTTTCCATTCTCATGCTGCGGCTTGACATTTAATTTTAAAAGCTAATGTGAATGATGCGCAAGGGGAGAAAGTGGTGAGTCCACTTCAAATGTTACTTGCAGTGGGGCTTCTCATTCTTTAATCCCCAGCAGGAGAACCAGGCCCACTCTTGAAGGAGAGGAAACAAAAGTGTAAAACTGCATTCTGTCCAAGTCACAGTAGCTAGGACTGACTAAACGGGTGAAGCCACTTGTCCCGCTTTATCCCTGCGGACCTCTGTTTGGAAGCATTGTGCCTCCTCTGAAGACAAGTGCAGGGCGAGCGTGTTGCCAGGGGTCGACTGCTCACCGGGAGCAGGGAAGCGGGCATGCGGACCTTCCCTCATACTTCTCTTCCCTGTGTGCCCCCGCAGATCCCCTCAGGCCTCTTCATCCCCAGCATGGCCGTGGGAGCCATGGCGGGCAGGATGGTGGGGATCGGCGTGGAGCAGCTCGCTTACCATCACCATGATTGGATCGTCTTCAGGAACTGGTGCAGGCCCGGAGCAGACTGTGTCACCCCCGGACTTTATGCCATGGTGGGAGCTGCGGCCTGCCTAGGTACAGGCACGGGTGGGCCGGGCTGGGGCGGGCCGGGCCGCGAGGAAAGCTGAGCTAGGCCAAGCGTCGTCACCAGGCCGCGCTGGCTTTGGGCACCGGTGAGAAGGAGGACGTGGGCTCGAGTGCTGGCATTCTCAGGATAGGCCAGGTTGTGTTGCTATCGCAGGTAAGGCGCTAAATCTCAGTGGCTTAACACACCAGGGCTTAGAGCTTGCTCATCATATGCGGTCGGCTCTCATTATTCGTGGAGCCCATATTTGGGGATTTGCCTACGTGCTAAAATGTGTTGGTGACCCCTAAGTCAATACTCGTGGGGCGTTGGCTGTCATCCTCAGACACGCACAAGAGCAGTGGAAAGTGTGAGGTGTCTAGCGCGTATGTTCCCAGCTCCGGGTGAACGAGGTGTGAAGGCCCACTCTCTTGTTTTGGCACGGATACTCTACACAAGTATCCTTTTCGTGGTCTAGTTAGTGTCATGTTTTTTTGGCATTTTGTGAATGATTTTGTTGTTTTAAATGGCCCCCAACCATAGTGCTAAAGTCTGTCTGGGGATCCTAAACACAAGAAGGCTGGGATGTGTCTTACAGAGAAAATAAGTGTGTCGGAGAAGTCTTCTCAGGCAGGAGTTACAGTGCTGTTGGCTGTGAGTTCCACGTTAATGAATCATCTACATGTATTAAATAAGGTGTCTTTAAACAGAAATACACATGAAATAAGGTTCTGTATTGATTGGTTGACCAACATGTTGCGAGCAAAAGCTCGCAGGAACCTAACCTTGTGTTTCCCCCAGGGCAGTGAGTCAGTATTTGCTCATTCAGTGTTTGTGGCAACTTTGTAGATCATAAGTACCATGAATAATGAGAATTGGCTCTGTGTGTGTGTATGTGTGTGTGTAGTGTAAGTTAGTAGAGAGCTTTTCTCCAGTCAGTCATTCAGGGCCCCGGGTGATGATGGAGTCTCCACCATCTTGCCGCTGGGCCATCCAGAACAGCGGTTTCAACGGGGGGCAGTTGTGCCTCTCAGGAACACTGGACAACAGAGGGGACATTTGTGGTTGTCACACCTGCGGGGGTGGTGCTACTGGCATCTAGTGGGTGGTGGCCAAGGGTGCTGCTAAACATCCTGTAGTACACAGAACAGCCTCCACGTCGAAGAATGATCCAGCCCCAATTGTTCCTAGTGCCGAGATCGAGAAACTCCAGTTAAGCTCATTGGAAGACTAGTACGAGTTGGTATGGATTCTTCTTCTAAATAACAAGGGACACAAAGTTGGGTCCCTCTCCTGTCCATAACCACTAAGCATCTCTGTAGTTTCCCAGCTTACGGGGTTCTGGAACAGAGCCACGATTGCTGTGTCGGAAACCTGCATAGCCCACATAGGATCCACTCACCAAAAAGCCAGGCCTGTGGTCTTGGGTGAAGAGACAACCCAGTTGTCTTCTCACTGAAGAAGAGCCCCCAGTCAGATGTGACTTACGGCCTCTGGGGTAAGGCTGCATTCAGCAGAGCCCGGCCAGCGTTCCAGAGGTCTGCCATGGGCAACCTGTAGGACCGTCTCTTCAGAACAGGTGTCTGGAGGATTTAGAGCCAGCTTGTCCATTTCCACAGTTCATGCCCATTTGAGGGTCTGGAGTTGAGTTTCAGAATTGTATTCCTGTCTTCGGTTGCAGGTGGAGTTACCCGGATGACGGTGTCATTGGTGGTCATCATGTTTGAATTAACGGGCGGTCTGGAGTACATTGTGCCCCTGATGGCAGCAGCCGTGACCAGCAAGTGGGTGGCCGATGCCTTCGGGAAGGAAGGCATCTACGAGGCTCATATCCACTTAAACGGGTACCCGTTTCTGGACGTGAAGGATGAGTTCACCCACCGCACGCTGGCCACCGACGTCATGCGGCCACGGCGGGGCGAGCCGCCTCTGTCCGTGCTCACCCAGGACAGCATGACCGTGGAGGACGTCGAGACGCTCATCAAGGAGACCGACTACAACGGCTTCCCTGTGGTGGTCTCCAGGGACTCCGAGCGCCTCATTGGGTTTGCCCAGAGGAGGGAACTGATTCTCGCAATAAGTGAGTAGAGAGGGGGACGCTCATGCTGTCCTAAGAGGCCAGTGGCCGCCTTTGTCCCCCCTGAGTTCCCAAAGAAGTTAGAGAGACTGCCAAGGTCCGAGGGCTTTAAGCTGGCGCTCTCACGCTTTCTCGCGCATATTCCTAGCCCCTGCGGATCTGGGTAAAATGCGGATTCTGGCTCGGTAGGTTTGGGGGGTGGCGGGGAGACCGCATTTCTCCCAAGCTCCCGGTTAATGCTGCGGCCGCTGTGAGGAACGATGTCTAGGGAGAGACCCGCTTGGCTGGAAAGTGACTGCGGCGTTTGCTCGCGGCCTCTGGGCCCCCCCCCCCCCCGCTAGGTGGCCCGCCGCCGCTGCTGCCTTTTTAGGCACTTGTCAGGTGCAGCTGGGAAGGACGGAGGCGGGAGAGTCCGGACTGGCCCCGGCGAGCTGCTCTCAGGGATAGACTTTCAGGCAGGCTCCTCGACGTCGAGGGTGAGTTCTTCGTCCCAGCCGCCTCCCTGGGCACCGCACAAGCCCTTCACTTCGCTTGGCGGCGTTATGTCCCACTCAGTACTCAGAGGCCCACGGGTCCGTTCTGTGTGACGCTTTTCCCCCCGGGGTGCCAGCTGGAAGCGGCGGGACCGAGGGGCAGGCTGCTGAGTCGGGAGGGGAGCGGGCGGGTGATGTCCGGGTGCCGTGTGCCCAACACGGTGGCTCAGAGAAGCAAGGCTGCCAGCTCTGCAGCCTAGGGATGCCTGCACTGCAAGGGAGGGGGGAGGTAGGAGTCCCAAGGTGAAGGCCTGGGTGTGAGCCACGTGGAGACCTAGGAAGAAGGACAGCGAGCCTCGGAGACCCCCGCGGGGTGGAGTCCCCCCGGTGCTCGTGAGGCGGCAGGGACCAGCAGAGCCCCCCGCCCTGGGGTGCCGTCCCGCTCAGCCCACCTGCTGCCGCGATCGCCCCATCCCGGCATCTCATGGCCGGCTGGGGCCCACGACATGGCTCGTGTGGACGCTTGATGACTTTACCACGTATGTCGCCTTCCAGGGTGTTTAAGAAGTTTGCCGGGGTGGGACTAGCCCGGGTAGGATTGCCACACGCCCTACTGGGAACACACCTTCACCAGACGACCCTTTGCTTATCCCTGCCCTTGGTTAACTATTTCTGAGGCGCCCTCTCAATTTCCAAAATCTCTTTGGGATGTTAAATAGCTTTTCAAATATCTTTAAAGTATCTTCATCAAAGGCTTTATAAAAATAAGTTCGGATAGTAAAAAAAAAAAGTTGGGGTAAGCCGTATCCTCTAATTTTAGTTTGTTGCTCAAACGTATTTACCTCCCCCAAAGCAACAACTGGGTTTGTATTTTAGACCCGATAGCACATTTGTGCATATGTGTTCAGTGATGCTTGTCTTTATTATAGGTCCTGTCGCTTAACAGGTACGTGCCTTTGGGCATAAATATTGCCTTATAAATAATGAGGTTTGTTTTAAGTTGTGTGAGCAGGGTTGGGTTTGTTTTAAAATAATGTAATCAGCAGCCTTGAAAAATGTATGCAGTCCCTAAAGTCTTTTAAGCAAAAGCTGAAATTTAAAAACTAAAGTAACATCACTGGATCCGTTACCTATTGTGCAGCTAAGAGACAGCTTACTAATTTTGCTGAAACCCATTACTGTAATCAAGTGGGAAGCAGTAATTGTCATCAGCCGGCTTGTGAAGAAATTTAAGCTTGCCGACGGAGCGCGCTCTTAGAAGCTGTGTCTGGGATGTCTGAAGAGGCAACGCGCCGTGTAAATAACACCTATATGCTTTCCATCAGACTGATGGAAGTATAGAAGCTGCTGTTTACGCGGTTTGTGGAAAGACAAGGAGTGTTTCGCTCTAAGCAGTCAGAAAAGCGGTTTCCCTGATCTATGGAAATAGCAGAGTCCTGGTACCCTGGTGGAGAAATTTGTGACCTGTATTTGCAGAATTATGGGGCCTTTCGTGAATATAGAAATAGGACTTTAGCATTTATCTGGTGACTGTCTCATGCCGGTTTCATTTTCAGGGGAATTAGGAGCAAAGATTATAGATAGGTAGAACCAAGATAATTTGAATAAGAATGGTAAATGAGGCAAGTAGGGGGTTTTCTTACACATCATGTTAAAATTGTAGCAACTGGGGCACCTGGGTGGCTCAGTCGGTTAAGTGTCTGCCTTTCAGCTCAGGTCATGATCTTGGGGTCCTGGGATTGAGTCCTGCGTCGGGCTCCCTGCTCAGCGGGGAATCTGCTTCTCCCTCTGCCCCTTCCTCCTCCTTGTGCTCTCTCTCTCTCAAATAAATAAATAAAATCTAAAATAAAAAAAAATTGTAGCAACTGCTCACGTGAAGCTGAAAATGTTTTGTTATTTTCCAACCATCTCTGGAATACCAGACCGTAGCCGATGTCCTTGTTAGGGAGCAGTTACCCCACCTAAGACGTGCGGCACGCTTCCCCATCACATTCTGACACATGGGGCCACGTGTGACCCATGTGCAAATTCCCGGTAAATGGGACTTTGCCTGTCGGTGCTGTTTGCAAATATGAGGCTCTTTCTGTGCTCAGCAGGGCTCAGACTCTTCTAGTCTTGAATTCTGCAATTAGGTGAGGACCGGTTCAGAGAGGACTCAGTGGGAAGCCGCAAAGATGATTAAAGGGATGGAAAGTTAGAGTCACAGGCAAGAGTTAAGGGAACCCTCATTTTTTTCGTCTGGTGGATGATTTAATGATGGTTCTCCAGCATGTGGAAGATGCTTACTTGCAGAAAGGGATCTGCGTCCAGAACTGAACGAAGTGTCAGATCTGTTGGAAGGGCTGCAGTAAACTGTAACTTATCATAAAATCATCTGGTTGTTCTTCTAAATAGTTTTTATTTTATTTTTATCACGTCTTCTTTGTACTGACCACCACTACAGTTGCTTTCAGTTTTCCACTTTAACATTTTTAGTTAATGACATCTGTTACATGGAAGCATTTTTGATGAACAGGATGATAGGGTATTCTCTCTCTAAAAATGTGATGACTCCAAAGTAGAGCTTCTCATCCTTAAGACTCTTGACATTTGGGGCCGGATCATTCCTTCCCGTGGGGGCTGTCCTGTGCACCGTAGGGTGTGGTCTCTGACCACTAGGTGCTACTAAGCAACACCATCTCCCAGGTATGACAACCAGATATGGCTCCAGAAGTTTCCAAATGTCCCCTGAGGGTCAGGGCAACATTGCTCCCGGTTGAGAACCATTGCTCTAAAAGCCATGGGAATAGCTTCCTGAATATGTGATTATTTCCGGCCTTAAAATTTCTTGGTCTGTCATAGTTTGTGAAATTTACTTTACCAGCACTCTTAATTCCCCTCTCTGTGCTTGGCGTTGCCATTGTATTGTCCACTAGAAAGTGGAAGGTACCTTAGTGGGTACTCACAAAATGTACCTCATTTTTCAGGAGCCTCCTGTATTAAGAACAGCTTAACTGACCTTTAAAACAATTAAAAATGAAGTTTATTACATTCTTATTTGTTTGCTTGTTTTATTTTAAAAATTTTTTTATTATTATGTTAGTCACCATACAGTACGTCATTAGTTTTTTTTTTTTTTTTTTAAGATTTTATTTATTTATTTGACAGAGAGAGACAGCTAGAGAGGGAACACAAGCAGGGGGAGTGGGAGTGGGAGAGGGAGAAGCAGGCTTCCTGCCGAGCAGGGAGCCCGATGCGGGGCTCGATCCCAGGACCCTGGGATCATGACCTGAGCCGAAGGCAGACGCTTAACGACTGAGCCACCCAGGCGCCCCACGTCATTAGTTTTTGATGTAGTGTTCCATGATTCATTGTTTGTGCATAACACCCAGTGCTCCATGCAGAACGTGCCCTCTTTAATGCCCATCACTGGGCTAACCCATCCTCCTGTCTCCTTGTTTTAAAGATTTTATTTATTCATTTGAGAGAGACACAGAGAGAGCACAAGCAGAGGGAGGGGCAGAGGGAGAGGGAGAAGCAGAGTCCCCGCTGAGCGCTGAGCTCTGAGCTCCACGTGCGGCTCGATCCCAGGACCTGGAGATCATGACCTGAGCTGAAGGCAGACGCTTAACCGACTGAGCCACCCAGGCGCCCCCGTTTTTTAAAAGCAATACATATTCATAGAATATTGGGGAAATCAGAAGCAAAAGGGAAAATTAAAAAAGGCACCCACTTTCCCAACAGCATAGAAGGCCATGGTTAATATTTGGTGCATTTCCTTCTTATCTTTTGGGTCTTCTACTTATGTAAACATTGGGCGTTTTGGGGGGGTTTCTTTTTTTTTTTTTTAAAGATTTTATTTATTTATTTGACAGAGAGAGACGCAGCGAGAGAGGGAACACAAGCAGGGGGAGTAGAAGGGGGAGAAGCAGGCTTCCCGCAGAGCAGGGAGCCTGATGCGGGACTCGATCCCAGGACCCTGGGATCATGACCTGAGCTGAAGGCAGTCGCTTAACCAACTGAGCCACCCAGGCGCCCTTGGGGGGGTTTCTTTTCCAACACAGGCTTCCCTGAGTCCCTGGGGTCTGGGAGTCTACACTCTTATAGCGCTGGATCATCCCCAGGGTGGGGAGTTGGCTTAAGCTTTCCTACAGGAACTATTTCTTGTGCACCCGCCGTGTGCTGGCACTGTTCTAGTCGCTGGGAGGACGGGGTGGGGGGGGTCGGGGCAGGAGCCAGGCTCGGCTCTCTGTGAGCATACATGCTGTAGTTTGTCGCAGGCATTGTGGTGACCGATGGAGATTCCCTGTCCAAACCGGGAGTAGATGTTTGACCCTAGCAGAGAGAGGCAAAAAGCTTTCTTGCTGGTTCTTCCATTTGTCAGCTTTTGGCCTGTATGTAGCACCCCCGCTCCCACCATTGGGAGCGTTCCGATAAGTCTTGGTAGTAGAGTTCCAAAGAGGCCTGAGCCCAGCTGGGGCCTTCGATTCTTTGCGGCAGTGAACAGCTCGTGGGCTTCCCTTTGCAGTGTCTCCTACGTGAAATAGGCTCTGTTCCACACGGCAGGCAGAACCAAGTCCGCTGACGTTTAGTAGAACTACTCATTCATTCACCTGTTGCTTGATGCATGCATGCATGTGGCCAATAGCTGTTGTGTGCGTGCGTACTCTATACTAGGCATTGTCCAGGCCCTGGAAATGTACTGGTGAGCAGGGAATCACTGAACTAGCTGCTGGTAGAATCAGGGCTTCTAACCCAATCAGGAGACTCAGAGGAACTAGACGGTGGTTATTTATTTTGGCAAGTGGATCGACAGTTTACTCAGTTGTATTTGGTTTTAGGAGGGGTTCAGCAAATCATGTGTTCAGTTCTTGATTGAGGTTTGCGGCTTGATCCAGTCCTGATGAAGACTGATCCTTGATCCAGTCGACCTCATTGTTGAAATAGATGGGTTCCTGTCACATGGGGCTGTTAGAGAATTCTCGGTCTGCGAGAAGGAGCAGCGCCTAAGTACGTGTTGATGGTTGCCTCCTCGCCTCAGTGCTCTGGGCCGGAACTATCTTGATTTAGGAGAGAAATGTGCGGTGTGCATCACATAGCATCCACACTTGAAAACATGTTGTACCTCAGCGTCATCTGGTATTTGTGGTTGAATCCTATCCCATTTGATGTGACTACATTTAACCTGACCCACATAATGTGCCGGCATTTGCCCAGCGGGCCCACTGTTCCTCTTTTAAACAGAGACCCTTTTTCAAACTCAGCCTGACCTCGAATGCTGCCAGTTTTCCATTAGAGTACTCTATTGCAATAAACGGCCTTAGAGCAGGCAGTTAGATTTTTATTTTTCAAAGAACAATATCGGTGAATAGTAGTCTTTGAGAAGGCAAGAAATGTATTATAGAAACCAGGATCCATTTTAAGGCAAGCCTCACTGTACATTTTTCCTAACCTTTTCCCATGAACCAAAAGAAAGATTAAAATTCCAACAGAAGGAAAATCGCCTTGGAGAAATATCTTGAGACCGATGGATTTATTTCATGTGTGACTTAAAATAGCCTGGGTTTCTAGTACTGCATAAAGCTGTATTTCTAATGAGTTCCTGTTACCCTACTTTTCTTCGGCTTGCTTTTGCATGTCCTTGCCTACAGATAGAAAGAGGCTAATTGTTACCATAACAGTTTTACTATCTTTCTTTGAGGAATCCACAAAATGGTCCATTTTTAAGAGAGGAGATCCAAGAGGTGGGGGGAATGTGGCTTTTCTGGAGTTATTTCTTTGGTCCCAAGGGTCATATTTGGGAGTAAGCTGCATTTCTGGGCTGTGAGCCTGGGATGGTCCTATTGGTTTTTGTTCCTTTCAGGATTCATAATGCCATTTGGGCCAGTTAAAGGTTAGTTTGTTAAAAAAAAAAGAAAAAAAAGGAAAAACAACTTACTGAGGTCGTTGGGCAGCTAAGTGAGGTTTCTTGTCCTGTCCTACTTGAGCCCATGATGAGGTGAGCGAATGTTAGGAAAGCAAGAGTAGAGGGCCCTGGGCCTTCTGGGTGCCCCGGAGCCCAGGAGGAGGCAGTAAATTCTCCCAAAGAAGTCACCCTGCTCAGGCCCACTTGTCAAGACTTTGGCAATGAACGATTGGGTCACGGCAGGGGGACCCTTGCACGGCATTAGCTTAAGAGAGATCACAATTTCACAGATGTTTGGCTGAAGCCCTTCATTAAGAACGTGGCATTTGCCCTCTGAACCCCTTCTCTGTGGGATTCTAGGATGCGGATAGAGGGAAAACGTATGTTCCTGTGGGTGTGGGCTGGAGGGAGTTGCTAAGCAAGGGCCTCTGTGTGGCTTACTGTTCTGCTCACCCATTCTAGAGAACGCCAGACAGAGGCAGGAGGGCATCGTGAGCAATTCCATCATGTACTTCACGGAGGAGCCCCCTGAGCTGCCGGCCAACAGCCCGCACCCCCTGAAGCTGCGGCGCGTCCTCAACCTCAGCCCGTTCACGGTCACGGACCACACCCCCATGGAGACGGTGGTGGACATCTTCCGGAAGCTGGGGCTCCGGCAGTGCCTGGTGACACGGAGTGGGTGAGTGCTCTGGCCGGACTCCGAGGAGAACAAGATGAATGAGTCACGGTCTCCGTGCCCGGGGGCCTCGCGGGGCAGCCGGTGCCGCGGGAAGGCGGGAGAAACCTCCCGGTGGGGCTGCTGTCGGGCCGAGGCTGAGGCTTGAGTCAAAAAGGGGAGGAGCCAAAGGAGAAGGATTTGGGCTGCTTTTCTGCGGCCCCCGCCCCCGCCCCCGCCCCGGGTGGCTCTTGGCTCGGGGAGAAGGGACAGCCTGTTGTGCTCTCACGGGGTCTGGGCAAGCCTCCGCATCCCGGCGCCACGCAGACGCGGGCAGCGAAGGGCACAGGCTCGTGAGAAGACGAGGGCGCGCTCACCGGGCGCACCTAACAAAACACGGAGCACAGCCTGTGCACGGTGAATGGTTAAGAGCTACGTAAATGCTACGATAAATAGATGACTGTACCTTGAAGAAGTGCTGAAGTTTTTGGTAGAAGTGGGCGGTGCCGTGAGGGCTGCAGCTTGCGAGCTGTGTCCCGTGGAACCCGGGGCGCCCTGGGCTGGGGGCGCCAGCGTCCCGAGCCGTCAGAAATCACACGGAACTTTTGACTCCCCCAAAACCTAACTACTGGTAGCCTGCTGTGGACCAAAGCCTTACCGATACCACGAACGGTGGATGAACCCACATTTTGTCTGAAAGTGTATTGCATACTGTGTTCGTACAGTAAGGAAGCCAGAGGAATTGTGATTAAGAAAATCGTAAGGAAGAGACAATACATTTATGGTATTGTCCTGTATGTTTTGAAAAAAACTCTGCGTGTAAGTGGACCCATGCAGTTCAAACCCGTGTTGTTCAAGGGTCAACTGTATTCCTGTGCCCCTGGGTTCAGCTGGGGGCAGTTTTCTGCATTCACCTGGAATTTCTCATGGATGACATGACCCATAAGCAAATGGGAAGTTCACATTCTGCTCAGATTGTTCCCTAATACAGCGATCTGTTCAGAACAACCGCACGTTTTCAGAACAACCGTTCCCGAAGAGCTGGGAGATCTGGTGGCCCCCATGGCTTAGTCACTGCCGAGGCAATATTACTTTTGCTTTGTGTTACCACAAGCCAGGAAACTAGCATTGCGAAGATGGAGGGTTCGTGATGGCCTGAGAGGTGCCGTGCCCCAGGGGCCCTTCTTTGGGCTCAGAGGTGCACCCCGAATCCCACGGCTTCGGAGGCTTGGGTAGAGGAGGAGACTGGCTCAGTCAGGGTAGCCTGGAAGCTAGGGTTGTCCACCCAGCGTATTCCTCTACAGGCTGAGGGGAGGAGGTGGGCTGGGCTGTGGAGACCTTGGCACTCTAACTGTGTCGAGGCCTTAACTCTCTAACGTAGTTTACACTGCGGAGCCCATGCTCCAGTTTAACCAAGCAGTTCTCAACCCCGGGTGATTTTGCCCCCCAAGATTTTGGATGTCCCAGCTGGAGAGAGGGGATGCTCCTGGCACTTAGTGGGTAGAGACCGGGGATGCTATTCGAGAGCCTGCAGTGCATGGGACGGCCCGCATTGCAACGAAGACTCACTGGCCTAGAAGGTCACTCGCTCTGGATCTCAGTGACCGTGGACTAGGTGCCCGTGAACAGCCAAGTGAGCCCTCCTTACTCACTCGCTTCCTTCCTACTGTCCTGGCTGTGCAAGGGGCCGAATGTGCGCACTGACCCAGAGAACCCCTGGCCCACACGACAGGTGTCCTCAGCTCTGACTGCAGCTGGGGGAGTGTGTTGCACATGGGAGGGACAATCGGTAAGCAACAAATACATGTTTGGGGCTAGAGATCACTTCTGCTGGTGATTTTTAAAGGCGCTCAGTGGGCTGCCGAATTCCCCCAGAGGATTAAAGCTGTAGGTTAAACCCAGAGTGCTGGGGCCACTGCAGTTACTGATCCCTCGGGTCTGGGAGGGGCCTGTGAATCCGTATTTCTAGCAAGCTCCCGGGTGCTGCTGCTGGTCGGGGACTCCACTTGGCCAAACGCTCTAACCCATTTACATACCTGAATTTCCAGCGCCCGGCATAAATACTGTGATCACCCGTGGCGTCTCAAGTGCATAGCAGTTTCTCTTTTCCTTTAAAATAATAATCCAATGTCAGTTATCATTGGAATTTCCAGTTCTGGCAGGAAATTCTGCCCTTAACGCCCGCTCACACCTCACGCAGCCCCATGAGGTTTTCCTGTGAAGATCAGGGTGCCGAAATTGGCTCCGAATGTTCTGCGAGAAAACAAAATCGCACTCTTTCTCGCTCTACATATTTTAAACAAACACAGATGCTGATACGTAACTGCTGGCAAGGGGATCCTTGTTTGCGGGCCTTTCATCTCCTCGGGCTTTCAGCCAGGGCAGGCATGTCTTGAGCCAGCTTGCGTTTTTGATGTATTCCGTCACCATGTGCCTTCCCTGCTCGCGGCGAGAGCCCCAGCTCGTCCTGTGGACCTGCATCGTCTGCAGGATTTCTCGGGGCCTGGGCTCCAGAGGTCATCGTGAAACCACACCAGGAACCACAGAAGGCTTTGTCCCCCGAAGGCCCCGAGTCTGCGGAGCCTCCGGTGGCTAAGCCTGCATTTGGGTGCGATCTTCCCCACAGAGATTCTCGACCGGCAAAGCGGGCGGGGGAGGTTGAGTTAGCTTTCCCCAGGCCTGCTAGGTGGGCCCCCAGGACTTAGACGGGGTGGCCTTCTCAGAAGAGCCCGGCTATTCTAATTGGATATGTACATGGTCATAGATTGGCCGTTTATCATTCCCTCGATTCACTTGAACTGCCACCCAAAGGGGCCGGAAGTTCAGACACTTGATTTAATAGGACACATCCTGCCACTAAGGATCTCTGCTGGATTTGATGTTGCCTCCTTCCGGCTGGATGTTCAGCTTTTCTCTTTTGCAATAATTGTTCTAAGCCAAGAGTGCTCTGAATTCGTATTTCCCCAGAAGTGTTGCGAGCAGCTTGACTTTCCCGTGTTATAGTTACAGAGCTTTAAGATAGGAGGTCGTCCAGACTGCTCCAGGGTGAAGAAAGGCAACAAGACCAGACTTTACAGATTTGGGAGGTGTGTGTGTGTGTGTGCGCGTGTGCGCGCGCGTGTGAGATAGAGTCCTCATGGCTTTGCAAACACTAACAAGCCCTACTTTTTCAAAGTAACATTCGCTTCATCACCCTCTTTCTGGGTGTCTCTGGCTGAGACCTGGCGAAGGCTCAAAAGGTGTCTAAAAAATAATAAAGCCAAGGAGCTCGTCATCTACTACGGAACACGGACATAATCCGATTTGGGTGGTGTTACCCAGGTGTTCTAGAGGGCAAGGTCCCGAGCTGGGCTTTCAAGGAGAAAATGGCAAAGGACAAAAGAACGGTGTCAGTTGAGAGGCTGTCTGCTAGTTGGTGATCGCCAGCAGCAGAGCACCCCCCCCCACCGCAGAGGACCATCCCTTAGCTGCCCCTGCTCCGTGGACACCGCTGCTCACGTTGCCTCCCATTTCTCCTCCGACCCCAGCTCTCTTAGCGGCGTATTACAGGCACACGTTGCTCGCCTTTTTACTGTCCTTTTTTCATTTTAAATGCCGCGGAACAACTGTGTGGACTGAATTGCGTCCCCCCAAATTCATATGTTGAAGCCCCACACTCCACCGTGACTGGGTTTGGAGATGGGGTCTTTAAGGAGGTAATTAGAGTTAAATGAGGTCCTCAGGCTGGGGCCCTGATCTGATCAGACTGGTGTCCTAAGGACAGGGAGAGGCAACGGGCAACAGGGATGTGCGGGCCCAGGGAGAAGGCCACGTGAGGACTGCGAGCCAAGGAGAGCGGCCTCTGGAGAAGCCAAACCTGCCAGCACCTTGGTCTGGGCCTTCTAGTCCCTGGGACCGTGAGAACGGTCATTTCTGTGGTCAAGCCACCCAGTCCATGGTGCTTCGTTATGGCCGCTGCGCTAAGTCAGGACCCCGACTCCGCTTGGCTGGTGTAGTGGAGCAGCGTCTTGTTTTACAGGACCTCTTCAACCTTACTGCATTTTGATAAATTTTAGAAATGTATTTAAAGCAATATAGGAACACGGTTGAAGCCAAGTAGCTCTAAACGGATGGAACAGAAAGCAGTTCCTGGTTTTACCCTTTTGCACCAGCACCCCTCTCTTTTCAGGGGGCCACTTTTCTCCCACAAGGGTTTGTTTTCTTTAATTAAGAGACTATTTTTTAGAGCAGTTTTGGGTTTATAGAAGAATTGAGCATAAAGTACAAGGTTCCCATATACCCTCTCTTGTTCCCTCCATTTCCCTTATTAACATCTTGCATTTGTTTTATCTGTTGCCTTTGATGAATTGATATTGATACACTAACTCAGGTCCCTAGTTAACATTAGGGTTCGCCCTTGGTGTGGTATGTTCCGTGGGTTTTGATAAATGGAGAATGACCTGCATCCACCATTCTGGTATCACACAGGTGGTTTCTCTGCCCTAAAAATCCTCTGTGCTCTACCTCTTCATCCCTCCTCCCCTCCCTCCGACCCAGACAACTACTGATCTCTTTACTGTCTCCATACTTTTGCCTTTTCCAGAATGTCCTAGAGTTGGATGTGGCCTTTTCAGACTGGCTTCTTTCACTTAGTGATACGCATTTAAAGTTCCTCCATGGCTTTTCATGGCTTGACAGCACGTTTCTTTCTTTTTTTTTTTTTTTATATTTTATTTCTATTTTTATTTATTTTTTTTATTCTTATGTTAATCCCCATACATTACATCATTAGTTTTAGATGAAGTGTTTCATGATTCATTGTTTGTGCATAACACCCAGTGCTCCATGCAGAATGTGCCCTCCTCAATACCCACCACCAGGCTAACCCATCCTCCCACCCCCCTCCCCTCTAGAACCCTCCGTTTGTTTCTCAGAGTCCATCGTCTCTCATGGTTCGTCCACCCCTCCGATTTCCCCCGCTTCATTCTTCCCCTCCCGCTACTTCTTCTTCTTCTTTTTTTTTCCTTAACATATATTGCATTATTTGTTTCAGAGGTACAGATCTGAGATTCAACAGTCCTGCACCATTCACAGCGCTTACCAGAGCACATACCCTCCCCAGTGTCTATCACCCAGTCACCCCATCCCTCCCACCCCACCCCCCACTCCAGCAACCCTCAGTTTGTTTCCTGCGATTAAGAATTCCTCATATCAGGACAGCACGTTTCTTTTTAGCGCTGAATAATATTCCATTGTCTGGAGGGACCACAGTTTAGGTATCTGTTCACCTACTGAAGGACATTCAAACCTTGGCAGCTATGAATCAAGCGTATGTCTTCTATGAGTTACCGAAATTATTTTATATCCCCACTAAACTGTAATTATACAAGATTAACAATGACTCAATCTATCATTCAATATCCAATTCATATCAAATTTCAATCCAGAATTCTTTGAGGGTTCACACATTGCATTTGGTTGTTTTGCCCCTTTAGTTTTTCATCTAGAACAGTTTCCTGCCTTTTTCTTTGTTTGTTATTTATGCACAGATTTTTTTTTTTTTTTTAAGAATCCAGATCAGTAGTCTCACATTCTGAATCTGATTGCTTCCCCGTGGTTTGATTTGGTTGAAGTGGTTTCTGGCGACATGCTTACATAGATGATGTCACAATGTCAGCTTTCCCAGCTTTGTTGGTGATTAGCTCTGCCACTTAGATAAGGGGGTGGTGGCCAGAGCCCTCCATTGTAAAGGGACATTTTTCTCTCTGTATGTAATCTGTGAAGGGATCCTTTGAGGCCAGGTGAATTTTTTGTTTTCCAGCAACCGTTTACCCAGTGGTTTTGGAATCCATGGATAATTATTGACTACACTAATTATTACATTGGGGGTTACAGAATGTCGATTTGCTAATTCTGTCTTGCTTTTGTACATTTCCCCCTGATTTTTGGATCATCACGATAGAGTCGTGAGGCTTTCAGCGCTTTGACATCCATGCTTTTCAAGTCCCCTTTTGCGATTTTCCTCTCTCCTGCAGATGTTCCCATGAGATAGAGGGGAACAGGTAGTGCCCGCTGTCGCCCCCAGGGTCACAGATGGGCAAACTAAGACCAGAAAGCAATCACTTTTTCAGGGTTGGTTAAGGTCCAGTGTGGTCAGGGACAAAGAAGTCAGAATTCTAGCCTGACAGTTTCACTACCCAGCATCCATTTCCTCTTCATATTCCCTTCTGTTTCACAGGAGATGACTTTGACTACTTTGGCTTTAATTAAATACATCACAGTGTTTTGCGATTGTGTTTTCTGATGTGGGGGCATATCATTATTTTACACAGATACAGAGTAGAAATCTTTCGTGTTAATAGCTACACAGTATACCAGTGTTAGCCTGACACTGTTTAGTTCTCATTCTTTTTTTTCTTGGGTGTGCTGGTGACAGGACGAGCAGCATCTTGCAGACTCGTTTGGCCAGTGGAACTTTCTTTCTCCAAAGAAGCTGTGCACATCCGCTTCTTTCAAACCTTTTACTTTACTGAGGGGACATGATTTGTACCAGCAGGTGGTCATTTAAGTAGTTAATAAAATCGAGATTGAGGCAAGGGCTGCTGGGAACGGTTGTGCCCGTGTGTTCTACACACTCCAGGGCACTCTTTACATTGTCGTGTTTGTGCACGGCGCTCCTTGGGGTTGTGCAATGTGTAGTCTAGGGGGCCTTACATAAGGAACCTTGGGAAGAGGCCTTGTTTTTGCAAGTTGAAAGCAGTGGAATTTTGGAAGAGGAGGTCATTCACGTGTATGGCCAGAGATATGAATGTCAAACTTTACCCATCCAGTATGATAGATTTAAAATAGGACCAGTCGTTATCTTCTACCTAAAATACCTTATACTTGCAATTTCTGTGATGTGGTCCAGTTTCGACAATGGCTTTCACAAGCCCTTTCTCAATTGATTATAGTCTTGAAATTTAGGAGAGCGTATTAGTCATCGTAGGTTTATTGCGGTAATTAACAAGCTTGCCATCTTAGTGGCCCTAACACAAGAGCGATTCATTCCCCCCCCCACGTCACATCCAGTGTGGGTTTCAGCAGGCGTGGGCTCTGCACCACATAGTCATCCAAGGACCCAGGTCTTTGAATCTGGTGGCTGCTAAGTCAGTCCTCTGTGACCTCAGAGTCCTTCACTGGCTCCTCTGCCTCTGCTTGCCACCTGAGAGACAGTGTCAGGAAATGTGCAGGTGACCCGGGAGGGGCATCTCCCCTCTCTACCTACATGCCATTGGCCAGAGCTCGCTCAGTTGTCCCCACCCGACTGCAAGGAAAGCTGGGAAATGTCTCGCTGTGCATCCAGGTAGAAAAGCCCTGGAGTTAGGGCAGGCATGAGTCAATATTGCAGAGCTGACCCCTGTTCTCTATTTTGTTTCTTCTCCAGGAGACTTCTTGGCATCATCACGAAAAAGGATGTTTTGAGACATATGGCCCAGATGGCAAACCAGGACCCTGAATCCATCATGTTTAATTAGAAACAAGGTGGCATTTATTTTGAGAAAAACACAACTGTGTCATTTTAAAAGAAATAAACAAATGATATGTTATTATTCTAATGAACGATTGTACGCTGGGGGCAGTGGAAACAAAAGCTTTGTTTGGAAAGGAAGAAGGATGAAACCTTTTTTAAAAAAAGACATCAATGAGTAGGCATTTTGTAGCTTTAACCCCTTGTGAGTTTCCAGCTGTGTTTCTTAATGAGTTTATTAACTGCCATGGGGGCATGGGGGTGGGTGTAAACGATGTGGTTTGTCCAAGGACACGGAACTGAGTCCAGAAACGTTTGCCCCTTGTGTTTAAGGCTGATGTTTGTGAAGCTTTGAGTCCAAAAAGGCAAAGGAGTATTGGCCCGTTAGCATCTTTTATTTATCGGTTCCTGAAGTTTTGCTGCTATTTTACTGAATCGGACTAAAGATACTCACACTTACTTTGTTGGAAAAGACAAGAGAGATTAAATTGGAACATAGTGAAAGCTGAAAGTTTTTTGCCAGCTGGTTCACTCATGACCATCCAATTTCTTGCTCCTGTTCTCAGCCTAGTGTTTTGCTTCTCCATCAGTTTCCGAACCAACATCCAGGGTCTCCTGCAGTGATGAGTATGAAGAAATCATTTCTCTGTGCAAGACCAGCATCTTGGGACTGCATAATGAACTATTGGCATGTTTAGTGCTGCCCGTATTTCCTCCCACACAAAGGGATTCCTCCTGATTTTGAGGGTATACACACCTGCTCGTTGTGTTGCAGACGTGTTGCATGTGCTTCACCTGTTTATTGCTGTTGCCCGTGCATTCCTAAATATTGAGCAGTCCAGCACTTTCCATGGGCCATATCCTATATGCTGCCAGCTTGTCGTAAGTGTGCTTTAATTTCCAAATAGCGTACGTGAGTGTCAAAACAGGCCACCCGGTGTTACTACTTACTTTTCCTTTCAGATCTTATTAAATATGGCTGCAGAGAGGGTGAGGCATACGAAGTCTCAGTGGGAACTCCTCCAAATGGATTGCAAGAGAAATACTAAATTGATTCTAAATCTGTTCCATTATCTTCTCCGTAGGATGTAAAACGTCCGGCTTTAATGTCTAAGCATGCACTTTCATGCTCGTACGCAGAGCACAGAGGGCAGAGTTAAATCATAGCCAGTTTGAGCACTGGGCATCTTTGTATTGAACTTATGGTGCATTTATCTCTTTAGTCAGGACTTCGGTCTTTTCTGGGAGAAGGCACGTCGCTGTGGTTTAGGTCCACGGTGTGATCTGTGTGAGTATGATTGCTCCCACTTTGCCCCTCACATCAGTCTTGGCTCTTCCCAGCCCACTGAGAGGCCCTCACCCTTTGCAGCCTTGTTACCGGATGTTGACGTAGCAGGTGTGCGTTTGGTGGCAAATAATGGAAAAATCCAACAGACAGTGGAGAGTTGAATGAGAAACCCGGGGGTCAGGCACTCTCGTCTCTCTCTGTATTATCATCAAGGATTCATGCCCTTTGGTATTGTTTTCTGCCATCCTTTGTCCTCTGGCTCATTGCCTCTGAGCCACAATGTGGTTACTGAGCTGCCAGGTAGGATGTCTGCTTCTTAGACAGGAAGAGGGAGGAAGAGGCCTGTAACAAGGCGCAGTGCCCGTATCAGGAAAGCGAAACTTTCCCAGAGATGCTCAGCTTGCATCTATTGGCTAGAATTCTGTCACATGACTCCCCTTAGCTGCATGTGAATGTGGGAAGGAAGGTTTTTAGCTAGACATATTATTCTCTGAATGAGATTTAGATTCTGTTAATAAGGAAGGGGGGTTGGTCCTGGGGAGGGAATGCTGTCCACTGGATTGGGTGCCATCATCGTGTCCCTGTCATCGTCCTTCCTGTCCTCCTTACCCTCTTTCTTGCTAAAGCCTCTAGACACTCTCTTCTCACCTTATAGTTTCCCACCCCTTCTGTCAGATTTGACCTAGAACTGCCAGTCAGAAGCCATCATTTCTTAGCCCTAATAAAAACCTAGAAACTTCTAGTTGGTATAAGAAAATGTACTGACATGTTCTCTGGGTTAAAAAGTCAGGGCACCTGGGTGGCTCAGTTGGTTAGGCGACTGCCTTCGGCTCAGGTCATGATCCTGGAGTCCCAGGATCGAGTCCCGCATCGGGCTCCCTGCTAGGCGGGGAGCCTGCTTCTCTCTCTGACCCTCCCCCCTCTCATGTGCTTTCTCTCTCTCTCTCTCTCTCTCTCAAATAAATAGATAAAATCTTTAAAAAAAAAAAAAGTTAAGTCAGATCATGCTGGCAAACTCTGGAAGATTTGTTTCTGTGATTGGTTGGCCTCCTCCAAACTAATATCAAAGAGCCACTTCATTGTGGAAATACCAGTCAGTAGTAGAGAATTCAGTCTTCGTGTCTCGTTCCCGGCATGTAAGTATAGAGTAACAGATCCTAATATTAGTGTTGTTACTGGGGTTTCCATGGAACACATGTAAGTGAAGCTGGATTCTTCTGGACTTTAAATCCTAAAAGGTCTTAAAGATTGCTTCATGTAGTTCCCTCTTAACTTCCACGTGGCCTCCCAAAAGACTATTAGTCATAGCCTGGATTTATATAATCCGGGACGCCCTTTAGCTGAAATAAGGAGCTTCAGAAGGGAACACAAAACAAGTGAACAGAGCCAAAGGTCAGTGAAACCACAGAATTTCCTCCTCCTCCAGCCGACGCCATGGAGGGATGAAGGGACAGTTTACTCCGGGCCAAGGTCGCCGAGGGGTGTTGTGTTGTGTCCTTCTCCCCAGTGCTTAGTGTAGAGAAGTCCACAGATTCATGGGAAACCATTGAGTGCTACTTGACTCAGATAACCTTGTTTTCCTTCATAAGTCAAACCTCTCATTTGTTGTGGGGTTCGGGCTCTTGGCGACAGAAGGCCGGGGTCAGACAGGTAGGTGAAGGTCAAGGATGGGGGAGTTGATTGCCTTTCTCCTCTAGAGCCCTAACTCCCCTTTGTGGTCCACTTGCCCACTGGCCTGGGGTCGCAGACCAACTCGATGGGGGACAGGCTCCCGAGCTCTTTGTCACTCTTTCTTGTGAAAGTTCGCGGGTAGGGATTCTGAAGGTATTTGCTGTGTCCACGTGTAGAACTTCATCCACTTTACCTGGTGATCTGATGAGCAAGAGGAGTAGAAGTGAGATGTGGAAGTAAAATAAACATTTCTCAGAATAATGTGTTTTTATCTTTTTCCAGAACCAAAGCCTTTAGACTTTTGTAGAACTTTCTGGATTCTTTCTGAATCAGTGTTTTATGTAAATAAACATAAATGAAGAATGGAAAAGGAGTTCTCTGACGAGGCACATCAACCTATTTCTTGTTCTCCCTCTCTGCTACGAAGGAAATGTGTTGTAGAAGGACAGACACCAAATAAAGAGTATCCCGAAAGGGACATTCAAATTTCTTGCGTTTTTCAGCGCATCCCCTGGGACTGCAGATGGGCGCATGGCATTAATGAAAAGGTAAATGTGTTAGAGGCAAATCACTATTCAGTGTTTGCTGTTACTCACCACCAGGCAATCTCAAAGACCTCTATTTAGTACTTCCCAAAACCCTTACGAAGGAGAAGACATCTCAGTAGATCTATTTTTGGCCCTAAGAAGTCACAGAAACCGAAAAATTTGTTTTGCTTAGGTGAGAACTGGTTACTTTACATTACCAACATGTGCAAATCTGCTCAGTACTCATTATCAGATGCCGAGCTGGAAACGATGAGAAACGCAAGGAGGAGCACTATCGAGTTACATAATTGTAATAGTATGCCTTCATTTTAATTTCACATGGGCAGGGTTTTATCACCCTCCGCTCCGAGGCTTTGAAATGATTTACATGGGGGAGGGGGGAGCATGTGTATCTAACTTGGGAACATTAACCAGACTCCATTTTCACCGGTGTAGTAATAACTATTTATTTGCCGTCCTAGGTGTGCTGGGAATGAGCCTACATGAGACTTTTATGAGATCTATTCGCATTTGGTGTTGGAACAACCACATAGCAATGTGGTTTTTTTTTTAATTGTAACCTTCTGTGTAAACATTGGCACCTTATTAAAAATTAAATGTTTGAACTTTACTTTTAAAAATAAAACAAGCACAGTCCTCAAGAAGCATGTTGTAAATGGAAGAGATACTGATTTCGCAGCATGTTTCTGCCCAGCAGAACCTCTGGAAACCTGATTCCGATGACGGCTCAAGTATCCGCGGAAGTTAAAGACTGATTCTTAAGATTTTCACGCAAGATGGTAATGTCAGTTTGGTCAGCTTTAAAATCCCTTGATCTTAGCCTGGTGGGTGATGGCCAAATAACAGTTCAGACTGGGGCTATAAAAAGTCCAAGGATGGGGCAGGACCACTGTCCCCGGGCCATCTGTGTTTCTGCCCTGTGCACAGAGGCTGGGCAGGACAGCTTGGGCCATGGTCGAACATTAATTCTGTCCCCGCTTCAAACTTTTTAATCTATGACTTCGGGAATCACAAGAGCTTAAATCATGTCCTTCCCTACCAGTTGCTTTTTTTAATTTTCAACTTTACAAAAATACGAAGGAAAAAACACAGAGAATGCCCACATCTCTTTGACGATCTAGAAGAAGCAGTGAGAGGAATCTCTTCTAATTGGGGGAGGGAGCCAGCCTGGGGACAGCTTAGGGAAGATCGTCCTCAGCACAGGGGCCAGCAAATACAAATGCCCTGAGGTGGAAACAGGCCTAACTTCCTGGGGTCCCACCAGGGGTGAGTGGCTGCGGGATGGGTGGTGCTTGCGGAGAGAGTGTGGGGTATTTGAAGTTGGTTTTGTTTTTCCTTCGGTGGGAGGCTAATACAAGCAGATGCTTCCAAGTTTCACAGGGCCAGGTACAGACAAGGAATTTAGAGGAAGGACGTGCTTTGACTTGCATTGTACATGAACCGTTCTGGCTGTTGTATAGCGGGACTGGAAGTCAGGAATCTGGCGAGGAGGCTATTTCAAGTACACAAGTTATGATGGAGGCTTGTCCCAGAGAAGCTCTTGAATTCTGGACATATTTCCGGGTAGAGCCAACAGATTTGCCGGTGGAGTGGATATAAAATGGTACGACTACGTTGCCGTTCACTGACGTGGGCGAGACTAGGCGAAATGCTACATTGGAGAGCTCTGTTGGACACCGAAGTCCAGAGTTCCGGGGAATCGTTGAGGTTGGAGACCTAGGTCAAGCCATTGGCGCATATCAGTGGTATTAAAGCCCTGCCTGGAAACTTCCATGGCCTAATGATACCCTAAGAGCAAACAATCAACATTCTGACAGAATTTCAATAGTGAGTTTTCAGGGAGTCATGCTGACTTAGTGATAGGACTGCACTTGAATTCCAGCTCCACTGCCTTTTGGCTGTGTGACATTGTCAAAGGGACTGAACCTCTCTGAGCCTAGATTATCCCATCTCTGTCAAGTGAGCTGTTGCTCCTGACCAGCAGCGTGGCTGTGAGAATCAACGAGAGACACCGTACATAAGGCACTTGGCATGGACCATTTCACATTATGAAGCCCTCCAGGTGGCTTTAGTTGGAAATTAATTTTATGTTGTTTTCAGTTGAATTGTAAGACCCCTAAAATGAGTAACAGATCGGGCTAACCAATTGGCCTTCTTTCCAGCTCTATCTGCAGTCATTTCCAAAAACTCGAAAGGAAACAAAACAAACAAAAACTCAGATCTCTTAAGGAAAGTCCAAAAAAAAAAAAGCCTCATTGACTCCAAAGTAATGGTACATTATTAGAAAAGAAATCACTTGGTAAGAAATTCCATTTCTCTGTAGCTTTGTATCGGCTCGGAGAGCAGGAAAGCATAAATATGCATGGATACTGAACTATTGATTAGCTTAAAATTTGGAGCAAGAGTTCACGAAACACGAGACTGTGTGTAACTTGCTTCTTTTCAGACAACATAAAACCCAATACCACTGCACCTCCAGACAGAAAAATCTCTCCAGCGTGGTGTTAATGTAGAAATAAGTCTCATTAGTAAAAGTCATGAAAGCCCAGCCTTCTGTGGGCCTTGGCTATTTCCCCTCAACACGATGTAGTTAAAAACCAGAGGGGGAGAATGAACAAACAGAATTTGTCCGAAAGGTGACAACCCATCAGTTTTAATTCTGGGAGTTTAGCTAGAGCTAACCAGAATGGCTTCGCAAATAAACGTCTGGGTCAGGCAGGCTTCTTCCTGGGCTTTCATGAATTGAGACGGGACCAGAAACTTCCATGGCCTCCTGGGGCAACGTGCTCTGGCGGAGCGCAGGGGAGCCCGGCACGCCTGTTACAGCTCGTCCCCAGTTCATTGGTAGTTAATTGGCTAGAAAGAAGCTACCATATGTGAAAGCAGATAGGGAGCATCTATTCTTGGCAGTTCCTCAACATTGCGTTTCATTAAAGAAATGGTCTTTTCTTTGCGAATGAGCAATAAGCAAAGAGCACCTTGTGGGGATTTCCAAACCCCTTTAGTCAGGGTTTGGCTCACAGAGCGAAGGGAGCAATTTCGATGTGATTCCAGCATTTGTTATGGAACACATATTCCAAAGATTAAACAGCCGCCCTCAATCCAAACAGATTCTGTCAGAGAAATTGGAAGCACATACATAAACTCCCGTCCCACAGGCTGCCTGTGACAGGTCGAGTCCAGAGGATGCTTGCTGGTAGAACATTCCTTCCTTCTGCGGGGCTCCGTGTTCATTTCACACTCACTCGGGGCTCCCACCTGTTCCCAGCCAATTCTAACCCAAGCGGAAATTGGAGCTAGCTGCCTTTCGATGGACTAGTTTCCTTTTCTGACATCTCTCAAACTTCAGTCCGTCCCCAGAAAGATGAGCATTTCCGGCAATGGCTGTGGGTGATTTACCTTCTCCGGGGAGTTGCCAAGCGTCCAGCTGCTCCGTGGGCAGGAGTCTCAATTGTGCGGAGAGAACTGGGGAGAGCGAGTAGGTCCGCCTGCAGTGGGGACGCGCTTGCTAAAGTGCTCCCAGAATCCCGTGCTTGCGCACGATGCTGCTAGGTGCCCGAGGACGAGAGTGGATTCTGTGGCTAACTAACTGGGAACTGCTTTCTCCTGGGACCGGGGTTCCAAAGACCGGTCCTTGGGGAGCACTGCTATGGGGGCGGGAGCGTGAGGGTCCAGGAAGTGTCCTTCTTAGTTTCTTTGCAGAACTGAACGACCTGGGAGACGTGAGTCACCTTTAACGGACGTCCAGCACATCATCTGTGCAGCTGGGACC